AGTTGACAATGAACGAGTTTTTTTGGCCGCTGCTGGATAAATGCGTCATCGTGTACCTCGATGACATCCTGATCTACAACACTACTCGGGAGCAGCATTTGAAGGATTTGGAAGCGATTTTCTCTATCCTACAGCAGCACCGACTCATCACCAAGGGCTCTAAGTGCGAGTTTCTCAAACAAGAACTGGAGTTTTTGGGCCACGTCATTTCCATCGAAAGAGTTAAAACCGACCCCAAGAAAATCGCGACGATACAAGACTGGAAGCCGCCGGCTAATCTCCGAGAACTTCAGAGTTTTCAGGGGTTCGTGAATTATGTCTGCTGTTTCATCCCGAACATGGCGGGGGTAACTTCCCCTCTCATGGATCTCCTGAAGAAGGGCCAGTTTTATGCGTAAGGGGGTGAGCAGCAGGCTGCGTTCGAACAACTCAAACTTTTGCTAACTACACCTCCGGTTCTTTGGATTGCAGATCCTCACCATCTGTTCGAGCTCATCACCTACGCTAGCGATTTGGCCGTTGGCGCAGTTTTGTTACGAGACTTCGGCGAAGGCCTACAACCGATCGCCTACGAGTGACGAAAGCTGAACCCGGCCGAGCGAAATTATCAGGTCCACGACAAGGAGTTACTCGCCATCGTTCACGCTTTCAAAATCTGGCGCTGCTACCTGACGGCGCTGACGTGACAATCCGAACAGACCATAAATCGCCACAGTTCATCCACGCCCAACCGACACTGAATCCCCGACAAATTCGCTGGCTCGATTACCTCGAGTCAAACTTCCATTACAAAGTTACGTACAAACGGGGAGTTAGCAACATCGCTGACACACTGACCCGACCTTCAGTCCACACCGCCGCAGTCCTAATTACCCAAGCTAATCCGCTACTAACTGGTCTATTCACCCACGGATACAATACTGACCCATTCTTCACCACTAACAGTCATCCTCAACTGACGGTCAAGCAAGGGGCCTATTACCTAAAATCCGGTACCAATCGGATTTGGGTTCCCACCTACCGTACCCTACGAGAACTACTAATACAGGAGGCACATGACTCGAATTTCTCGGGTCACTACGGCATCGACAAAACCGCCAAATTACTGAGCCGTAATTATTATTGGCCCGATTTGCCAACAGATGTGCAGCCGTACGTCACCTCCTGCGCCACGTGTCAACGCATGAAGTCATCCCGGCTTCAACCTGCAGGATTGCTGCAGCCGCTAGAGCCACCCAGTCGGCCCTGGCAACACGTGACGATGGATTTCGTCATTGGCCTGCCAAGTGGTTCTAGCGGTAACGACGCGATTCTCGTCGTCGTTGACCGGTTGACCAAGATGGCCCACTTCGCCGCCTACAAAACAACAATTACTGCCGAACAGACTGCGAAACTGTTCCTGACAGACATCGTGCGGCTACACGGCATCCCTTCGGCAATCATCAGTGATCGTGATCCACGGTTCACGTCCTTCTGGACAAAAACCTGGCAGCAGTACGGCACACGTCTGCATCTGAACACGGCGTACCACCCGCAATCGGACGGCCAGACTGAGCGCACCAATCAGACGATGGAGCAGCTGATTCGCACGACGTGCACAGACCCGGTCCAATGGGTACAACAACGCCCCATCGGCCACGACTACTCAGTCCCCGTTCTTCCTTAATTACGGGATAGACCCGACAACCTCTCTACCGCCATCGATAGAAAATCCGGCACCAAGATCGTAGCAGTTCGTCGAAAATCTCCGACAATCTTAGCAGAAAGTCGCCGATGCCATCCTCAAAGCCAATCAGAGGGCTAAGCAGCAAGCTGACCGACGACACAATGACTTAACACTCGCCCCTAGGCAATTGGTCCTGCTCGACACCAGAAAATTGGGAATTCCCCTCCCAAATAAACTCTGACCAAGATTTTGCGGCCCTTTCCGCATCATCCGCATGGTGACACCAGTCACCGCCGGCCGACTGGCGAATTAATGATTCATTTCACGTCAGTCTCCTGCGACCATTCTGTCAGAAACTAGCTTAGCTAGGAAGCCATAGAATGGCACAAGGTTTAGCTAGGAGCTAGGAGGAGCCATGAGAATGGCGAGAGGTTTTAGGTGCTAGGAAAGTTGAGGAGAGAAAAGATGTTGGATTAGAAGAGAGGGGAGTACAAGGAGGGGTTTGTACCCCCTACAGAAAGGTTCAGTAACAACCTACCAAGCCTATATTAAATTATAACTTATATAATTTGAACACACCCCCTAGGCTTGGTAGTCACATGCCCACACACACCCACACCCCCTAACCTAGCACCCCCATTCCAGCCACAGTGACAGCGACTCTAGGGCGGTCGACCCCACGGCGCGTGAGGCGGCGACGTCGACCGCAGGGGCTGCGGCGGCGACGGCAGCAGCGGCGGCAGTGTCGACAGCGGCAGCGGCGGCGGCGTGCGGCTGCGTGGCCCCGACGCAAGCGGCGACAGCGGCGGCGGCGGCGGCTTCGACAACAGCGGCAGCGGCGGCGGCACCCGCACCTCTCGGCGACGTGGCCAGGCCCCGCGTCGGTGGGACGGCCGGCGGGAGTCAGCCGTCGTCTGCGGAATGGAAGAGGGCACAAGGGAAGGAGGGGGGTGGGGGGGGGGGGGCGCCACAGGCTGACATGCGGGCGGCCGGTCTAGCGGCGCCACAAGCGTCACGCGGCCGGCTGCAGCCCGACGACGCCGTCATGGAGCGGCGTCGATGCCGCAGCGGGCCGTCGACGTTGCGACGGCAACACGACGTCGCCGTTACGCCGACCGCGCGCTGTCGCGTAGACGCCGCGGCAGCGTGACGGCGCCGTCACGTCGCGACAGCATCTTGACGCGACGGCGGAGCTGCGGCACGACGGCGCGGCCACAGCAGCTGGACGCGGGCGCCATGGACGTCGACGGCGGCGCCGCGGCACGACGACGCGGCCACAGCAGCTTGACGCGGCCGCCATGGCAGCGCGAGATAGAGAGAGAAACGAGCACGCAGCGGAAACGCGAGGAGCAGGCCCACGCGGAACGAACTGCTCTAATACCATGTCAGAAACTAGCTTAGCTAGGAAGCCATAGAATGGCACAAGGTTTAGCTAGGAGCTAGGAGGAGCCATGAGAATGGCGAGAGGTTTTAGGTGCTAGGAAAGTTGAGGAGAGAAAAGATGTTGGATTAGAAGAGAGGGGAGTACAAGGAGGGGTTTGTACCCCCTACAGAAAGGTTCAGTAACAACCTACCAAGCCTATATTAAATTATAACTTATATAATTTGAACACATTCGACCTGAGTACGACTAATCTTGACCGTCAACACATCAATCCTACGGTCAACCCATTACCTGAGCCGACGATCGAACCATCGAGGATTCTCGCCTATCGCGTACGAGGCCATTGAGATACATCAGCCGTTGATTTCCTTGTACGATAGGTCGATCGCACGACTGACGACAACCTTTGGGTCCCCGCAGCTATGCTCGTCGAACACAAAGTCGTCAGGGACTATTTACACCGACGACGTGTCCCGGATGTGGGTAGTCTCATTCTGGAAGGGGGGCTGGTGTAAGGAAATTTCCTTTTCCTTACTGGGTTCGACCAGGGCCCAAAATTGGTTTTAGGCCACTCTTTGAGATCAGAGTAGGAAAAAAAAAATGCCCTGACGGTCAGAGCTAAAAAAATTCTAAGTCTGATTTGGCAGGGTAAAAAAATTCGAAGTCTTTGCTTCAAGTGTAGAACTCTTTGCACCCTTTCTAGCCTTGGCCATTTAAGGAACATTTTACATGAATGAAGTGGGCTGCACTGAGGTGTGGAAAGAAGGGTGTAGCGGATTTGCGCGTGCTGGGGGAGATTGGGGGATGGGATGGGACGGAAAACGATTCTGGGGCGCGAGAGGGGAATCAGATTTACATGGGCGGCAGAGGGGCGGGAAAAAAACCATCTGCTCGTGATTGGTTGGGTGTCAGAACAGAAGGGCGTATACGACGTGACGTGTCTTGCTGTGGTGTGGAGGACTTAGCGAAAAAAAAAAAAAAAAATTAGCGGGGGTGTGGTTGGGAGGCATGTCTCTTGTGGGGGACTTAGCCATTTCTGGGTTGCGAGGGGGTGAGGGAGCTATGACTCTGGCTATGACTTAGCCGAAATTGCTGGCTTGCATGGTGCGTGGGGTGGGAGGAATGACTCTGGCTGCCAGGGACTTCGTCGAAATTTTTGGTTGCAGGGTGTTTTGGGGGAAATGTTTCTGGCCGCCAAGGACTTAGTCGGAATCTCGGAGTTTCGATACCAGGGTAGTTTTCAGGACGCCCTGAAGGGTCAGGGTTCGGGGCCCCGCAACCCTAGTTTCGGCAGGGTAATATTTTCGTAACACTTTTTGGATCAGGGTAATAAATTTCGTAAGTCTGATTTTTAAGACCAAATGAAAAAATGCCCTGAAAAATCAGGGCAATCAGGGCATTTTACCCGGCTAATTTGAGCCCTGGGTTCGACTACAGCGCGTACGCCCTCGACTCTCGGAAGTCCAGGCTCGGCCAACTTCTTCGGTCGCGAACCATTTCGCGGACTCAAACCTTGACGCGCGGCGCTTCCACGGCTTTTGCCAACCGAACCGCCCCAACCTGGTCGCGTGGTTCTCGGCTAGCCCTATTCGTGCCTATAAATGCCTAGCCCTTCATTTGTATCGACACTCTTGAAACACGACTCCCTTATTATTCTGATTAATTCATAACATACCATACCTTTCAGCACCCTACTGAAGACGAAAAGAAAAGGTTCCTGTCGACTCCACTGGGGATCGAACCCAGAATCTCTGGTTCCGTAGACCAGCGCCTTATCCATTGGGCCATGGAGTCATGTCTGTGAAGTCGTAATTAAAGTATTTTATCAGTTAAAACTATGTTCCATTCTCAGCTCCACCAGTCCAATTGTTTGTCTCATGGTTTAATGTGGTTCATCTTAGTACTATGAGAATTCAACAGGCCCTTCTAGATTCAAACGAGGCTTATGAGGAATGCAACGTTACTAAAAAGAATACAAGCACATCATCCTCCCTCTGCTTCTAATCGCCAGAGCAACAGCTCATTCCAAGAGTCTGGGACCCCTGGTAAACAATAGTGTATGCAATCAGGGTGACTTCCTGGGGTGTATCTCCCGGGGTGACCATCCTGTCTCGATAGAGTCACATTGTGCATGTCTAAGAGTGATATGCGTGCTCCAACCATACCCTGCTGCTGCTGCATCCCTGTGCCTGTACTTCCATCTTTTCTTGATCTTCTCTTTTGCTCCACTATTGAGTGCTGCACAGCTTCTGTTAGTATCACATTTCGTTCCTGTATAGGACGTGCCCTGACATCTTCCAAACCAGCAGAATTGCTGGGATGAATGGGTAGAGTGGATGGGCAGGACTGGTTCGCGTCCTTATGCGAAGGCATCGTTGTAGTCACTATCACGCGCTTGCCTGCGAATGCTTCCTCTCGGAATGCAGATAAAGTGGAGTTGAGTGCGGCGTGGTAGGCTGTGAGTATGTCCGTGTGAGTGTAAGGAGGGGCGAGTGTGATGTTATAGAAGCCGAGCTGAGAGGTGGTCCACCAGAGACCTAAGAGAGAAGGGAGAGACAGCACGGGACACAGGGAACAAGAAGGGGAGAAAAGAGAAGAGCGTGTATTACCAGGAATGTGAGGGGGGGCGAGTGTGATGTTATAGAAGCCAAGCTGAGAGGCGGTCTACCAGAGACCTAAACGAAGAGAGAGGTAACAGGAGTCCTAAAAAGGGAGATGGAAGAAAAGAGAGGAAATGTCCACTAGTGAGTGAACTGAGGGGCGAGTGTGATATTATTGCAGCTGAGCTGAGAGGTGGTTCACCAGTGAATTGGAGGTACAGGCGGAGGGGGAGGGGGGGGGGGGGGGGGGGGGAGGGAAGGGAGAGGGGAGTGGGCGATGGAGGAGAAAAGGGGAGTTGGGTGAGATGGGCCGATAGGAACGGGGCATGGTGGAAAACGGGGCTGTGCGGAGGAGTGGTGAAAAGAGGTGAATTGCGGTGGAGTGGGAAAGAGTTGAAAGTCAGGGGAGAAAGATAGGTAGGACTCAGACGGTCAGAGCCACACAGTGCACCGGAAGACTTGGGTAACTTACCCGAGTTAATAACGAAAGTGTCAAAGTTTGCAGATTGGTCCATCCATCCCTTGGCTGGTTGGTCCACGTGGATGGTTCCCCCATCTGACACGTGTATCTTGTTCCACGCCACGTGGGACAGAAACTGGTGGCTGAGAGCGATAAAGACAGAGATTGGTTGGTGCGGGGAGGAGAAAAAAGAGGGGGGGGGGGAAGGGGGGAAGGGGGGAAGGGGGAAGGGGGAAGGGGGAAGGGGGAAGGGGGAAGGGGGAAGGGGGAAGGGGAGGTGGTGAGTGTTCGGGTTGCAGAAGAGACGGGGGAAGAGGGAGGGGGGAGGGAACGACGTCAGTATGAGGATGACTGAAAGGGGAATTAATGCTGATGGTCTAGCGAAGCGAGCAACAAGGCTGGTAAATGAGAATTTGAAGGGGAAAGTGGGGGTGAGGCAGGAAGAGGAAGGGTGGGTTTGATAGCTAGAGGACGGACGGAGGACAGGAGAAACGAGAGGAGAGAAGGAAAAGGGAGGAGGGGAGGGAAATCTCAGGAGAATTCGTTCGTGAGTGCGGAGAGTGCGGGGAGGAGAGGCGAGGAACGGAAAAAGCGGATTTTCAGGAGCATTCGTGCGTGAGCAGCACTTACAAGAGAATCCCGAGGGTGAAGTTGCATTTCGGCCAGTAGTAGATGCGGTCTCTTAACGAGTTCAGCTTCACAATTGGCATGCCTTCAAACGCGTACGCCATGCACGCCAGCGACTCGAACATGTTCTGACTCAACGAGTCGCCCACAAACGCGATGCGACGATTCGCCACCCGTTCGCACAAATTCGCCCGCGTCACCTTGGGAATACCGCCACTGCACGAACCAGTTCGCGAAACGCCTTCTGCATCCCCGTTACCACTCGGCGAAACGCGTTCGTGGAGTTTCCAGCGAAGTTTTGCGAAGCCTTTGTCCGGCCGGCCGTATTTGCTACACTTGCTGGTTTCGCGAGCGAGGGGACACGCGTCCGTTTCGTACAGCGGCCACGCCGGTTCCTCCTCCCACGCGCCGTCGCCCAAGTCGCACGACGAAGCGGGCGACGACGTCGACGACGACACGGCGGCCGAAGGCCACACATTCGCGGAAGCAGCACCGTTGTTAACCCTCAGCGATATGGGGTCCATCCCATCAGCTTCATACATGTCCGGGCGCCCGATGACGCTCGCGATAATGGGTCGGATGACAGTATCCGCAGGTGCGTCTAGCGCGGGAGAACGCGCCTCCGCGTGACGAATACTCGCATTCGCTAGCAACTGCGACTCCTGCACCTGGTCAGTTTCGGAACCGTTTTTGAGTCGGCGAACATTCAAAAGCTGCTCCTGACGAATCTCAGAAGCCCCGGGGGTCTCGCGGGCCTGAGAGCCCCTGCGAGTGTCTTGTGAATGCTGGCGAGGGTCTTGTAAATGCTGTGAAAGCTCAGAATGCTCTAGATGCTCTGAATGGTGTAAATACTGTGAAAGCTCAGAGTCTGAATGCGGTGAATGCGGTGAATGCGGTGAATGCGGTGAATGCGGTGAATGCGGTGAATGCTGTTTCCTCGCCAGAACCACTGTCCGAGACGACGAGCACCCGTGGAGGGAACCGAGGAGGACGGCGAAGGCAAGAAGGAGGGCGGTGGTAGTCCTAGTGCGGCGACATCGAGGTGAGTGCCGCCGTGGGTTCGTTGTAGGGGCTGATTGCGGGTGCGACATGGATGGACCCGATATTCTTGTGGATTCTCGGCGCTCCTGGATCATAGTTAATGTGCTAGCTATAAATTTTTGTAGTCGACTCAGAAGCGGAAAAGATCGCCTGATGTCTGTCTCTGATTGCGACCGCAATGGCGCTAAGGGCGTGTCCCAAGCGTATGCTTTATTGCGGTTGGGTGAGATGCTCTCGGTTTCAGATGGTTCGTGTACTATTTTTTAAAGGTTAGGTAGGGTTTCGAGCAGGAGACGTACTCTTAGGACACGCTCTAAGGTTGTTCAGGAGGACAGACCTAAACGTCACAATACTCTAGCACTTTCTACAGCTCCAACGGACTGAAGACTCTCGCGATGCGTATATGAAGCCAAGTGCACGAGGGGAGACTAAAGTGCAGCAAACTTCTCGAGGTAGCTGCCTAAAATAGTCGCACAGCATCCTATGGTGCGATTTCTCGAATCGCTGATGCATAACGAAAGCTGACGACGCCTTCGCTCGAAGTTAGGCCTCCCGAACCTACCCGCAAGGTCACCCGAGCTGGGTGTTGCGATTTTCGCCTGAGAAGTGCGTCGCAGATTGCCTGGTGCCACTGGCTGCCACATGTCGCAGCCGACAGGTTGGAAAGGTTTGTGGGCTTGGGCGATTCGTTTGGAGGGGAGGTGTCCTGAGATAGAGCGTGGGTTTCGGGACGTCGCAGAACCGATAGTTTTTGCTCTATAAACGTTTTTTATACATCAGATACCGTACTGTACCTTTCTGTGACTTCCCAAAACGTCACATTATACTTTGGACACCCCCTGATCACCCTATGTTACGAGCGACTGGGTACGAACATCTAAAAAAGGAAAAACAAATGGGTAGAACTTTATTGTATCACCCTGTTAGTTTATTAATAGTTTCGTTTCTTTCTGGCCTTCCATACCAGCTCTTCAAAACCGAGCACAGAGGTGGGGAAACCGTCGGTAAGAGCCAGATCGTTAAATCTGGAAGCCATTCAGTACTGAAGCACATCGTGCTTTCAAAAGAGCTCTGGAAAACGGCTGATTCTCGGATAATAAACGACCTGAAAGTACCCTCTAAAATAAAACCTTAATATTTACGTCAACCCTACCTCCGAACACGGTGGAGCGATCCGTTACAGGGAAGCGACTACGGCTTATATCGATACAATATTTGAGGTAGCTAAACGGATCGTATGCAAATGAAGTGTAAAACTGTATCTCAAACCACAGAACACTGGTTTTCCTGCCAAAAGGCTGCCGGCTCAGTGAGTTGGTCACCCAGGCAGTCGGGCAGGCTTCACCTGATTGACCACAGCGCACCACACACCCCCGAACCAACCCCTAGGATGAGTCTCGTGCTTGATCGAATGAAGACAGTAGGGATTTCTCGCATTGGGAATTGTCAGGTTGTTGGGTTCGGAGGTTCATATCACATTCCCTTTTCTCAGCAGTAGGGAAGTAATGTACTTGCAGGTTCCGTGAACATTAGTCACCGCACGACCATCATACGGTAACTGTTGCTTGTGGCTTTTACCGTAGTTGCGATTCTATGTTCCTTCAGGAACATCCGCTTCTTCCTTCAACAACGTTCACCAGTATCCATTGTTCCTGACATTTTCCGTATCAGCTATGATCACGTTCCACACGGTTCCCTATTCAAATCGATACAACCGCTTCTCTTAGTAAATTATACAGCTCGAATTCTTCTAATTCGACTAGCGTGGCCCTCAATGAAGCCTCTAAGCGTTCAGATGCCGTCGGATTACGTGGAAGACGAGGAACCTTCGCCGGCCTTTCCTCAGACCAGCCTAATCCGTCGAGACGGGGACGACGAATCCCATTTCAACGCCAACAATTCCAGGCTTAATCCCCCCGAGCCGCCTTCTAAAGCCTGTCTAATAGGCCTAACAATCTTCGTCTGTCTCTTAGTCGTTCTCGCGGTACTAATAGCCGTTTGGGGCTTCAGGCCAGCGGCCCCTGCGGCGGGAGATGCGCTGATGCAGGCGGAGGAGAAGCAGGACGACTCGAGCGGAAGTGGCTCCGCGAGAGGCGGGCAGGCTCCGCCGCCGGCTCCGCCGCTGCACGACTACAAGGCGGCTTTAAAGCTTTCTCTGGACTTCTTCGACGCGCAGAAGAGCGGCGACCTGTCGCAGTGAGTGGTGGTGGGGGTGCTTGGATAGGATGGGAAGATACTTGAGAGAGTATTCTGAGTCGACTCATAACACAGTGAGTGGTGGTGGGGGGCCTTGGATAGGATGGGATGAGAACTCTCCCAGAGATTTCTCATCCGCTGCAGGTGCCTCCGCTGCCGCATGACTCCAATACGAAGCCGTCTTCAACCGTTGAGCACAAACAGACAGGATCCTCCTCCTCATGCCTCGTCCCTCCATCTCCCCCACTGTCCCCTCCTCCCCCCCCCCCCCTTCCCCCCCCACACCACCAGCTCCGCCTCTTTCTACCCTTCCCAGCACCATCCACCCCGCCTGGCGCAGCGCAACAGACGGCACGGAAGCAGGGAGTGACCTGGCAGGGGGCTACTACGTGGATTGCTGGGGAGTGAGGCACACGAGCCCCACCTTCCCCCTCCCCTTCCCTCTTCCCTCTTCCCTCTTCCCTCTTCACTCTTCCCTCCCACTTCCCTCTTCCCCCCCTCCCCCTCTTCGCCCCTGTTCCCCTCCCCAGAACCCCCCACCCCCCCTGGCGCAAGACCTCTCACATGCAAGATGGGAGTGCACAGGGGGCTACTACGTGGACGGGGGGGGAGTGAAGCAGACGGCTATTTTCCTCTAGATGCTTACCCTCGATTCTCCCCCCCCTCCCCCACCCCCACCCCCACCCCGCGCTCGTGGGTCTTCAGAACTCCCCACCCCCCCTGGCGCAACAGCTCCCACCTGCAAGACGGGAGTGCAGCAGGGCGAGACCTGGCAGGGGGCTACTACGTGGACGGGGGGGGAGTGAAGCACACGAGAGACCCACCTCCCCTTCCCTCTTCGCCCCTGGCCGTTCCCCCTCTGCAGAACCCCTCACCCCCCCTGGCGCAACAGCTCCCACCTGACAGACGGCAAGGAGGCAGGGCGAGACCTGGCAGGGGGCTACTACGTGGACGGGGGGGGAGTGAAGCACACGGGGAAGATGGCTTTCGCTATGAGCATGCTCGCTTGGAGCATAGTGGAGTACGAGTGAGTGCCTATATGGGGTACGAGTGAGTGCTTATATGGGGTACGAGTGAGTGCTTATAAGGGGTATGGGTGAGAGTGTAGTGGAGGAGGCGGCAGTGAAGTTCATAAAAATTTATATGAAGAGGTTGTGGGGAGACGGTGTGGGGAGACGGTGTGGGGAGACGGTGCGGGGAGATGGTGTGGGGAGACGGTGTGCTCTGTAAACCCCCAACGCCCCCCACCCCTTATAACCCCTCCCCTCCTCCCTTCCCCCACAATCCCCAGTGCTGAGCTCGACACTACGGGGTCAAGCAGCACGCCACAGACCTGCTCAGTTGGGGCGCTGACTGGCTGCTCGCTCAAAGAAGACGTGGGGAGGGGCTGCTTGTTGGCTTCAACCCCCATCCCCCCCTCCTCCCCTCCTCCCCAATCCCCAGTGCTGAGCTCGACACTACAGGGTTCAAGCAGCGCGCCACAGACCTGCTTAGGTGGGGCGCTGACTGGCTGCTCGCTCAAAGAAGACGTGGGGAGGGGCTGCTTGTTGGCTTCAACCCCCATCCCCCCCTCCTCCCCTCCTCCCCAATCCCCAGTGCTGAGCTCGACACTACAGGGTTCAAGCAGCGCGCCACAGACCTGCTTAGGTGGGGCGCTGACTGGCTGCTGAAGTGTCAGACGTAGAACTGGGACGCGTGGTGGCTTCAACCCCCATCCCCCCTATCACCCCTCCTCCCCTCCTCCCCTTTCCCCTCCTCCCCTCCTCCCCAATCCCCAGTGCTGAGCTCGACACTACAGGGTTCAAGCAGCGCGCGATAGATCTGCTCAAGTGGGGCGCTGACTGGCTACTCAAAGCAGACGTGGGGAGGGGATGCGTGGTGGCCCAAGTTGGGGACTCTGCCGCCCAGAATGAGTGCTGGCAGCGGCCGGAGGACGACTCTGCCGCCCGGCCCGTGTACACTGTGGTGGGGGGGGAGGGGCCGGGGGCGGAAGTTCTTGGCGACTTGGCTGCTGCATTTGCTGCAGGTGAGACAGGTTTATTCAGAATAAAACTCACCCTGCCTTTCCGGCCCGTGTACGATGTGGTTTGGGGGGGGGGGGAGACCGGGTGCTGCTGACATGCTTGGAGACCTGGCTGCTGCCTTCGCTGCAGGTGAGGTAGGTCTATTCAGAATCAAACTCACCCCGGCCTGTGTATGATGTGGTTTGGGGGAGGGGGGAGACCGGGTGCTGACATGCTTGGAGACATGGCTGCTGCCTTCGCTGCTGGTGAGACGCCTTCGCTGCTGGTGAGACGCCATTGCTGCTGGTGAGACGCCATTGCTGCTGGTGAGACGCCATTGCTGCTAGTGGGAAAGACCCCTTAATATTTGTATGCCATCCCAGGGAGACCAATTAGTCGGGTTAGGGCGTGTGCTGTTTCACAATATTGTCAGAAGTTCGTACTGTCACCACACTTTGCCACGATCTTGTTTAACTGCACACTCTACAAGTTCGATCTGGAGGCTTGTTCGAGCCCCAACTCACACGCCCTTAGCCGTGCGTGGCAGCGGGTCTCGCCTATGGGGTTCGTTTTGTTGTACTAACCTACAGACTTGATGGAATTAAGGCCTCCGCAGCCCACCTGTAATCCATCTACAGCCCTTAACCGTACGTGGCAGCGGGTCTGTCAAAACACTAGTGGTCGTTTTTAGAGAGAGCTGAGATGGCTCAAACGAACCTTCCCCCCCCCCACTCTCACCAGCCTCGCATGTGCTTGGCGAGTTCGAACCCAGCTATGCTGCGCTGCTGCGAGACCATTGAGTCAACCCACAAGAGCCCTTCCCTCCCTCTCCCCACCCCCCCTCACCCCCCGTCACCCCCCCTCAACCCCCCTCAATCCCCCTCAACCCCCGTCACCCCCCGTCACCCCCCCTCAACCCCCCACACCCATCTCTCTTCTTCAGCCTTGCATGTGTTTGGCGAGTTCGACCCTGGCTGTACCGCGCTGCTGCAAGACCATTGAGTCGCAAGAGCCTTTCTCTCTTCCCACCCCCCCTTAACCCCCCTCACCCCCCCTCACCCCCCCTCACCTCCCCTCACCCCCCCTCACCCCTCCTCAACCCAGAAGTGCCTTTCTCTATTACCCATCTCTCTCCCGTCACCCAGCGCCCCCATTTCCACTCCTGTCCCCCCCCCTTCCCAATAGAACACCAAATAGGTGCCATTGTGTCAATACGTGGCAGCAACTGTGTGATGACACCTGTGAATGTAAACTCGTAGAGTGCTTGTAAAAACTCTTGGAATTAAAAAATGGTGGTAACCGGTTTCGGCTCGAAGTCTCTTCCCACCCCCCCACCCATCTCTCTCCTGTGTCACCCAGCGCCCCCATTTCCACTCCTGTCCCCTCCCCCTTCCCCCCCCCACTTCCCCAGCCTCGCACGTGTTTGGCGAGTTCGACCCTGGCTACGCTGCATTGCTGAGAGACCATGCCTCGATGCTCTTCACTGTGGCGTCCTCCACTGCCACCACGGACGAGTGAGTGCCGCTTCTCCCTCCCTCCCTGCCCATTCCTCTTAAGGGTCGCTCGTTCCCTCCCTCTCTCCATTCACCATGCCTCGATGCTCTTCACTGTTGCTTCCTCCACTCCCATCCACACCTTTCTGACCTGTACCAGCACGCCCCCTCCAGGGACTCAGCCCTACAAGTCATCCTCCTCATCATCCCAATCCTCGCCTGACTTCAGCCATGAGCTGCTCTGGTCTGCCGCATGGCTGCTCAACCCCTTGCTGTTTCATGTCTTCCCACCCTCATTTCTCCCCAACAGGACGCCCCCTCCAGGGACTCAGCCCTACGAGTCATCATCCTCATCATCGCAATCCTCGCCTGACTTCAGCCATGAGCTGCTCTGGCTTGCCGCATAACTGCTCAACCCCCTTGCTTTCCACACCCTTGCCCGTCTGACCCACACCAGCACTGCCCCTCCAGGGACGCAGCCCTACCAGCCATCATCGTCCCAATCCTCGCCTGACTTCCACGATGCACTGCTCTGGGCCGCCGCATGGCTGTTAAGCTGATCCTCTCCTACCCCCTTGCTTTGTTGTACACCCTTGCCCGTCTGACCCCCACCACCAGCACGGCCCCTCCGGGGACGCAGCCGTACGAGCCATCATCCCAATCCTCGCCTGACTTCCACGATGAGCTGCTCTGGGCCGCCGCATGGCTGGTCATCCATTGCAATCGACCCCTTGGCTTTCTACCCCTTTGACCATCTGACCCCCACCACCAGCACGGCCCCTCCAGGGGCTCAGCCCTACCACCCATCATCCCAATCCTCGCCTGACTTCCACGATGAGCTGCTCTGGGCCGCCGCATGGCTGTGGCGCACCACCATGTCAGACCCCCTGCATCAGTACTTGCTCAAGGTGGGTCACTACTACTGGTACCTACTGCCAGCATTGCGCAGCATTGCACCCCCTACCAGCAGCACCTACCCGCATGGCTGTGGTGCACCACCATGTCAGACCCCCTGCACCAGTACCTGCTCAAGGTGGGTCGCTACTTCTGGTACCTACTACCAGCATTGCGCAGCATTGCACCCCCTACCAGCAGCACCTACCCGCATGGCTGTGGCGCACCACCATGTCAGTCCCCCTGCGCCAGTACCTGCTCAAGGTGGGTTCCCACCATTCCCCCTCCCTCTTCCTCTTCTTCTACCGGCACCTACCGGCACCTACTGGCACCTACTGGCACCTACTGGCACCTACTGGCACCTACTGGTACCTACTGGTAGCTACTGGCTGGCACCTACTGGCACCTGCTGGCACCTACTGGCACCTACTGGCACCTACTGGCACCTACCGGCACCTACTGGCACCTACTGGCACCTACTGGCACCTACTGATACCTACTGGTAGCTACTGGCTGGCACCTACTGGTACCTATTTCAATTTGCCCTGCTTGGCTGTGGCGCACCACCATGCCAGACCCCCCGCACCAGTACCTGCTGAAGGTGAGCTGCTCTCACGGCGCGAATCGTGTGTGTCTGCCGCTACTCCCTCGCCTTCACCTACGCCAACATATAAGGTTGGTTTTGAGACGTCTCCAAACTCTCTCCTACTCCCTCGCCTTCACCTACGCCAACATATAAGGTTGGTTTTGAGACGTCTCAAAACTCTATCCTACTCCCTCGCCTTCACCTACGCCAACAAGTCGGCCGGTGCTGCAGTGCTGCTGACATCCCGACTTCCACCCTCTTCCCTCTATCCGCGCTTGTCTATCCTTTCCCATCAAACCCCCTTCAATCCACCAGCCCCAGCTGGCCTCTCTCTCCTACTCCCTCGCCTTCACCTACACCAACAAGTCAGCCGGCGCTGCAGTGCTGCTGGCGTCGTTTTTCCCCTCACTCTCCCTCCCTCTATCTCCTCTTCCGCCATCCCACCAGCCCCAGCTGGCCCCTCTCCCCTACTCCCTCGCCTTCACCCACGCCGACAGGTCAGCCGGCGCTGCAGGGATGCACACATTCTCTCTTTCTCCAAACCCTTCCCACCTCTCCCCCGTTCAATCCACCAGCCCCAGCTGGCCTCTCTCCCCTACTCCCTGTCCTTCACCCACCCCAACAAGTCGGCTGGTGCTGCAGTGCTGCTGGCGTCGTTCGTGCTGGGACCCATGGAGGAGGAGGACGAGGAGGAGGACGAGGAGGAGGATGAGGAGGAGGGCGAGCACACCAACCATGCAGATCACACATACCTCTCTCCTCCCCTCTACCCCCTCCCTCACCCCCCCACCTTCCCCTCATTCAATCCACCAGCCCCAGCTGGCCTCTCTCCCCTACTCCCTGTCCTTCACCCACGCCAACAAGTCGGCTGGTGCTGCGGTGCTGCTGGCGTCGTTCGTGCTGGGACCCATGGAGGAGGAGGACGAGCGCACCACGCAGGCGTACGGGGCTGACGTCATCTTCCGATTCCAGAAGCTGGTGGAAGCTTCCATGTGCTCCTCTGTTGCTGATGCGCCATCCACGACTACGGCCGAAACACTGGCGAGAAACATGCCCAGAACTCCGGGTGAGCGAGGGAGGGTTTGGGTGCTTCTTTCTGCGTGCTTGAGTCAACCCATTGGTTGCGGTGCTGCTGGCGTCGTTCGTGCTGGGACCCATGGAGGAGGAGGACGAACGCACCACGCAGGCGTATGGCGCTGATGTCATCTTCAGATTCCAAGAGCTGGTGGAAGCTTCACTCCGTGCCTCTGTTGCTGATGCTCCGTCGACCACTACGGCCGAAACACTTGCAAGAAACATGCCTAGAACGCCAGGTGAGGGGTAAAAAAAGGGAAAGGTGATGGGGGGCCTGCAGTACCCATCGGCTGCGGCGGTGCTGCTGGCGTCGTTCGTGCTGGGACCCATGGAGGAGGAGGACGAGCGCACCACGCAGGCGTACGGCGCTGATGTCATCTTCAGATTCCAAAAGCTGGTGGAAGGTTCGCTGTGCTCGTCTGTTGCTGATGCCCCGTCTACAACCACGGCTGAAACACGGCTGAAACACTGGCTCAAAAGTCACCTCGTTACAATGTCACACAACACAACCACGGCTGAAACACTGGCAAGAGACATGCCACGGACGAAAGGTGAGAGAGGAGAGAATAGGTGGGAGAGGAGAGAGTAGGTGGGAGAGGAGAGAGTAGGTGGGAGAGGAGAGAGTAGGTGGGAGAGGAGAGAGTAGGTGGGAGAGGAGAGAGTAGATGGGAGAGGAGAGAGTAGGTGGGAGAGGAGAGAGTAGGTGGGAGAGGAGAGAGTAGGTGGGAGAGGAGAGAGTAGGTGGGCATGGCGCCTTTTCCTGGTCAGATATGGAGATGGCACTCTTGTGCTGGGACCCATGAAGGAGGAGGATGAGCGCACCACGCAGGCTTATGTTGCCGATGTCATCTGCAGATTCCAGAAGCTGGTGGAAGAAGCATCTCTTTGATGGTCTATTGCTAATGCACCGCCTATAACCACTGCTGAGACGCTAGCTAGGGACACGGCCAGGACACAAGGTACGACAATCATGTGCAACTGCCCTTCATCTCACCTTCAGATTCCAGAAGCAGGCGGAAGCTTTACTGTGCCTTTCAGAGGCGCCTCCTCTCTCCCGCAGCAGACCTACAAATCTCTTCTCCTTCCCCTCCTTTCCCTTATGTTACTTTTTCTCCCATACATCCCCAACCAGGCGGGCTCTTATGGCTGGATGGATCGATATTTGAGGCGCCTCAAAAACTTTTTTCTCCCATACATCCCCGACCAGGCGGGCTCTTATGGCTGGATGGATCGGAACCGTTGCACGCAGCAGTGCAGTGCAGGCAGAGGCTGCCTTCCCGCTGAAGACCTGCTCTCTTGCTCCCCTCCGTTTCTCCCCTGTTCCCTTCCCCTCCTCCCGTACATCCCCAACCAGGCGGGCTCTTATGGCTGGATGACTCGGAGCCGCTGCATGCAGCAGTGCAGGCAGCCTTTTTATTGAAGACGTATTCTCGCTTCCTCAAAGCGGGAGCAGAGGATGAGGGGCCGTGTAGTGGGGTGTCGCCGCGTGCACTGGCTACACTAGCACGGTCCCAGGTGCGTGCACAGCAGTGTGTTGTGTGGGGGGTATCAGGGGCAATGCGGAGTGAGAGGCCGAGAGGCCGTCCAGTGGGGTGTCGCTGCGTGCACTCTCTACTCTAGCACGGTCCCAGGTGCGTGCAGTGATTGGGGCTAGGTTGTACAGTAATCTATTCTGTAGAGGAAGTTGCCTTTTGAGTCGACTCACAAGACGTGGCCTCCCCACATCAGCTCAGTCCCAGGTGCGTGCTGTGGTTGGGGCCAGATTATACAGTACTATACAGGCCGTATGGTAGAGAGCATGTTTGTTGGTTGTAGTATGTCGCGGTGCCTATGTATGCTTGTTTGTGGCATGCCCTTAACATCTTCAAATTGCTTTCTACAGTCTTGAGAAAACAGTCCATTTTTTAGGATTCTCAAGAATGATGTGCATCTTCTTGTCTCAAGAGGGTGCTGGCTGTAAACATCATGTATCTGCTGCCTTTGTTGACGACACCTACATCATGGTCCTGCATGTATTTTCCAGGTTGACTACCTTCTAGGGTCTAATTCGCAGCAGTTCAGCTACATGGTGGGCTTTGACGATAAATACCCCAAGTTTGTGCGTCATCGAGGAGCGTCGATTCCATCCCTGGCATCCGATCCAACGGTGTACACGTGCTCGTCGGGGCAACAATGGCTGCAGAGCAGCTCACCCAACCCCAACATACTTTCAGGTGTACAACCAATGTTTGGTGATTTTATTGCTGCCAAAGGATGGTGCATCATGGTAAGTTTTGCTGGCTGAGGCTACAGGTTCTTTTCTCGACTATTGTAAATGGGTTTTAAGTTGGATTGTGTGAGCGATTTCAAATCTTCCATAGGCCATCATTGTGTTCTATTGTATCTCGCAACCTTCACAATTGCGTGCAATATTCAGTAGATGCTTTTCAGTGGTGTGAGGTACCATCCCTTTTATTTGTTTTGCCGTGTTTCTGCATTTGATGCAAGCAGGAGCTGTGGTAGGAGGACCTGACAACCATGAGGAGTTCAATGACTCAAGAGACAATCGCCTAAACGAGCCTGCTCTTTACATAAATGCAGCCTTGGTAGGCCTGCTTGCTTCGTTCAGTAGTCCATGACGTGGGAAAGACAATCTCAACCGATCAATTTGTAAGCCATCTGGAGACATATGGTGGCGGTCATTGGGATGTGGCATGCAGATTGTAACCCATATTTATCATTTATCTGCTGTGCGTTGATCACGAGCAATTGCAGCAAGCATCTCATATGTGAAGCTTCTCAAGCAACAACTCCAACTCTACCGTAATTGTTTGTTACACCCCTGCGCTAACAACCGAGGCTATACACGCTGCTATCGGGTAGCGTTGTACCGGAAACCCTAATGAGCACCTGCTGCTTGTTCCTCCTGCTACATTTCAGGTTGTCGCGCCGCGCAAGCTGTTTCCACACTCGCCCACTTGCGCGCCACTGTCCACTCGCCTCCCTCGTCGCCTCAAGCAGCCATGGCTGTCGAGTTGGAAGAAAGCAGACCTGGCTGGGAGGGGAGAAGGCATGGTTGCAGCCGGCCAGACAATGCGTTGAGACCTAAAACAGTTCGTGCTGAAAATGGCGCAGGTTGGGTGTACAGTATATGCTAGTGACTATTCGCGCGTTGCGCTAATCCACATGCCCCGTGTGATTCTGCTCGTAGTTCAACCTGGGTGCGTGTTTGCCGAGCGCCGTAAGTACGAACGGTACGTAGCAGATTGAGTGAGATTGCGTGTAGTACAGTATTAGAGGCTGGCTTCAACACTCCTGCCATAAACCGTCCTTTTTTTGCGCAGTTCACGGTTTCCACACGGCATCAGGAACCAGCATTACTTCGCTGGCGCGGCGTATCCCTGAAAGGCGAGGTCTGTTTAGCAGCTAGAGTCGAAGGCACTTTCTTTTACCGTGCAGAGAAATTATCGAGGACTGTACCTTGGTATTATCGAAATTTGAGAATTCCCAATAGAAGGTCATAGCTATGGCTTCGCACCACCGCCCATTCAGACCGCTCCGCTTCTTGCGACGCACTTCCCGCTCCCTTCGGTTATCCCGACACAGCTCCAGAATACGGTTACCCTGTCCCCAACGGTTATGCTCTTCGCAAATATTCGCTATCGTCGTCGCTGCAGTTCTCATCCGCGCGACAAGCGGCGGGCAGGATTCACGAAGGAGCCTGGTTGGCCGCGACCAGGCGAGTCAGCTGCAATCGACGGTTCTGTCGCCGAATGCGGTGTTTCCTAACGTGCTGGGTCGCATACAGCTCTACGAGGAGGACGGAATGAGCAGCGAATCAAAGCTCGCCACGTCGAGCGCTGCGAAATCGCATCGACAAGCTTCTGCGTCGCAAGAATCGTCGTCATCGTCGCAGTCGTCGCAATCGTCGCCGTCGTCGTCGCCTGCGGCGTGCGATCTGGACGACGGTTCCTGGGAGGTTGACGACTCGTGGCCGCTCTACCAATCAGAGAACTGCCCGTTCGCGCGCGAAGAAACGATGTGCGCGAAATACGGACGACCAAATCAAGACTACGCGAAGCTGAGATGGGTGCTGGCCGGCGAACGTGGTAACCCTAACAGCGGCACCGGCGACGGTGCAGGCGAGGGTGGCGAAAAGTGCTCACTCACGAAGATCACGGGTTCGAATCTCTGCAGGCGCGTCGCAGGGCACCGCATAGCGTTTGTGGGCGATTCGTTATCGCAAAACGCGTTTGAGTCTATGGCGTGTCTGATGCACCGATTCGCGGGAATGCCGGAAGTGCGGGTGGAGAGACACCGGGATCGCATGTACCACTGGCCCAACTGCAACCTCACCGTCGCATTCTCGTTGTAAGCACATCCCCGACCCCGATATGCCTTGTCACTTTGGAGAGACACATGGATAGCATGTACCACTGGCCCTCGTGCAACTCCACCGTCGCGTTCTCGTTGTAAGCACACCCCTGTGAGAGATTTTTTGGAATTCTAAAAAATGTGCCTTGGCACCCGCTGCCCTCTCTTGAGTCGACTCAAAAGTCATCTTGGCACCCGATGCCCTCTTTGCTTGATAGCTGTCTTTCCGTCCCAATTACCGGAATTCCACCCCGCCTTCCACCTCTCCTTTACCCCCTTGTGTCCCTTCCCCCGCTCCCCTCTCCCCCCCCCTTTTCCCCCCCACTCTCCCCACTTCTGTGTCTCTGTCTCCGCTTCTCCTTTCCCCCCCTCATGCTGTCTTCCCTCGCACCACCCACACCCACACGGTTCCTGCATCCCCCCTACCCTGCGCCGCCCCCCGCCTCCCCCCCCCCCCTCCGCCCCCGCCTTACATCCCCCCCCTACCCCCACACAACCTCGCCATCAACCTCGTTCCCCTCTTCCCCTCTTCCCCTCTTCCCCTCTTCCCCTCTTCCCCTCTTCCCCTCTTCCCCTCTTCCCCTCTTCCCCTCTTCTCCTCTTCCCCTCTTCCCCTCTTCCCCTCTTTCCGCTCTTCTCATCTCCGCCTTTCATCCCCCATCCACGCCACCACCACCATCCTCCTTACCTCTTCTCACACCCACCTAAAGCATTTCGCCCTCCCAATTCCCCTTAGCCCCTCGCACTCCTCCCCCCTCCGCCTCTCCCCTTTTGCCTTCCCCTAATCTTTCCGCTCAACCCCCCTCCGTGCATCCCTTCCCCCTTCCGCGCATCTGCAGCCACCAGTTTCTGTCCGAGGTGGCATGGAACAAGGTCCAGGTGTCAGACGGTGGGGCCATCCAGCTGGACCAATCAGGGAAGAGATGGACGAAGCACATTAAAGCCTTCGACACATTTGTTATCAATTCCGGTACGTGAGCAATCACTGCGCAGTCAGGTGCGCTTATGGTCGGCCCAACCAGGTACGGTAGGGAATCGTTTCTGCATGGATCAGTTCTTGTGTTGGCAGAACCTGAGGAAAGGCCTGGCATGGTTCAGGTGAATTTTCAGTAGACTCAAAAGTCGGCTTGAAGACTATCTATCTGTATGGATCAGGTCCTGTGTTAACAGCACTTGACGGAAGATCTCTGTCGTGGTTTAGGCATGGTTTAGGCATGGTTTAGCTCCCACACACCCTTCACATCTCGCACCCACTCCCACATCCCTTAATGACTTTCCTGCGCTTCGTTCTCAGTCATTGCCTCTTTTCCGCTGCTTCTTCTCTACACTCCTCCCTCTAGCCCATTCCCATGATCACGTGTCAGTCACGTGCCCCATTCTTGCAGTTTTACGCTACAACTGTAAAAACTCCTCCTTATCCTTCCCGCCCTGGTTACCCTATGCAGGCCACTGGTGGTCTGAACGGCAACTGACCCGTTACAACATAACCTTTGCACCTCCGCACGAATCCCTCGACTTCCTTCAAGCATATCGCCGTGCCCTCAACACAACCCTCTCAGAGTTTCTACACCCAAAACTCGCTAACAAGCAGGTTTTTTTCACCGCCTCCGCCCCGTCCCACGACATTCACGGACTCTGCCCGGAAAACAAGTTTATCAAGAAGGGCGACACGAAGCGGGTGAATCGGATGCGCCTCCCTTGGACGGTCGAAAAGAACGAAGTTTTAGTTGACGTCGTTCGGGGGTTTGAGCAGAAGCAAGCTCAAGGAGCAAGCGGGTTCCAAGGAGCAAGAATAAAGCTCCTGGACATGTATAACGTGACCCTGTACAGGCAAGAAGCACACCCGTCTACATACAATGCGAGGGGCATTTGGGATTGCCTGCACTACTGCCTGCCGGGGGTGCCTGATGTGTGGAACGAGATTCTCCTGTGGCAAATGGAGATTGAGAAGAGCATAAGAGTGAGGGTGTAGTGAAGGGGAGCTGCATGTTGGGGCTATAATAATATTGTGTACCTCCAAAAAGCCAAATAAAATCATGCCAATGCCAACATGTCCCTGCATGTTAACGTATGAATCTGTGTTCATCATGGCATGGTTCAAGCATGAGAATCGTCTGCGAGTAAGACGTCCTCATGATAGAAAGATAAGGTATGAAGAAGAGGCATGCGGTATTTCTATTTTGTTGAAATTGTAAGCGAGATGGGGCTCACATTTCGCACTGTGCACTGACAGTTCCGTCACTCGGCAAGCCCAAGATTCCACAGCACTGCCAACATCGGCTCGGCAGCACAGACGACAAATCTTTCTGACAAGGCTAATTGCATGTACACCGTCCGTCTGTATCAGGCTTCACATTTGCGTTCTAGAGAGATTTCTGTAACTTTTAAAACGTTTGGGAGTGGTACTGGGGGATAATGAACAAGTGACGTGCCCTGATTGTAGCACCAAGTCTTGTAAGTCCGTACAGCAGGGCTTGTTTCCCTTGGCAGCTTGTTGCTGCTTCCCGCATCAGGAAGCTAGGCTACAGGCATCTCCATAGGTCTCGCGAAATGTGCGGAAGAAGACCTCTCTTTATGGCTCCATGTAACGCTATACCTCATTTGGTTTCGCACCATGAGGCCTCCCATACTTTGAGCTTCTGAAACGTCACCTAGATGACATCCGCTTTTGCCGATCATCCTTCAAGTACCCGCTGGTGTAATCACTTATCGAGTCCATCGTGCAATTATCCTTAGCGAAAGTCGAAACAGCGACTCCGGTTAGGGAAAGAGCAGCGACGTTCGAGAATGGTAGGGAGCGGATTCTAAGAATCCTCCATAACTGACCATTCTTCGGTTAGGGAAGCCTCCTGGACAGAAGCCACAATGGTTTCAACGGAACGCCCTTCTAAGATGAAAGAAGCCATGGCGGAAGGCCTTAACGAGGCCAAAGCTTGGGCCCGGAATCGACCCGAGGTCATTAAAGTGGCCTGCCTCGCCTTAGCTCTCTCGCTCCTAATCTTAATCTACGCTCCAGGATTCTTTTTCGGGCTGCTAGTCGGCGCTTCATCCGTGATTGGCGGCGAGATTCTCCTTCTGAAGCATCTGTGGACGAAGATTCGTCCTCCGAAGAAGGAAGGTTCGGAAGCAGGGAATGCGCCTGTGCCAGATGCTGTACCCGAAGACCTTTTGGAAGCAACCTCGATTCTGAAAGAGGTTCGTTCATTGGAGAGGATTTCAGAGGTTCGTTCATTGGAGAGGATTTCAGAGGTTCGTTCATTCGAGAGGATTTCAGAGGTTCGTTCATTGTTCGTCCCTCTAGCTGTTGTATCCATGTCGCCGGATGCTGTACCCGAGGACCTTCTAGAAGCAACCTCGATAACGAAAGAGGTCCGTTCATTGTAGAGGCTTTCATTGTTCATTGTGTTGTACGCATGTCACCGGATGCTGTACCTGATGACCTTCTAGAATGAGGTCTGTCTATTGAGACTTTTCACCCCTCTAGCTGAATGCTCTAGCTGTTGCACCCGTGTTGGCAGATTCTAGATCAGAGTTACCTTGCGGATTGACGGTGTGGATTGAACGGTCGGTAACGACTTGCGCAATGAAGGCATTAATCCATCCTCTCGGGTCCATCTTTTCCTGTCCACCTTTTCCTGTCCATCTCCCTCGTGCCTGACCACACAGAGTGTAGCTTGGGTTTCTTTGACGCCGTGGGAAGCAGACGAGGGCAAGACGGGGTCGGGCAAGCTGAGGAGGAACGTGAAGCACTTCACCCCTCCCATCCCTCTCTCCCACCCCTCTCTCCCATCCCTCTCTCCCATCCCTCTCTCCCATCCCTCTCCCATCCCTCTCCCATCCCTCTCTCCCATGCTCATCCCACCCATCTCCTGACCACAGAGCGTGGCGTGGCTCTCCCTCCGCCCGTGCGAGGCGGACGAGGGCAAGACGGGGTCGGGCAAGCTGCGCAAGAACGTGAAGCACTTCGCCCCGCTGCTGCGCCTGGCGACCCTGGAGGTGGACGAGCGGGTGCTGGTGCTGGTGGGCAATCAGGGGGAGTCGGAGGCGATACAGCTCGATGGGTGTGATGTCAAGAGCTTCTCGGAGACCAGCGGCCCGGAGAAGAGATGGTGAGAAGGCTGGTGGAGGGCTGGTGGTGGGAGGAGAAGCTAGGGGAATGGGGAATGGGGAATGAGGGGGGGGTGGGGAGAGGGATGATGAGATGAGAGAGAGTGGTCGGGGGGGTGCTGCTGCTGGCGGGGAATCAAGGGGATTCGGAGGTGATACAGCTGGATGGGTGTGATCTGAAGAGCTTCTCGGAGACCAGCGGCCCGGAGAAGAGATGGAGAGAAGGAGCTGGGGGAACGGGAAATGAAGGGGGAGCGGGGAGAGGGATCGTAGAGGTAGGGTAGGAGAGATGGTGAGAGCAAGGGCTGCTCTGTGGAGTGCTCTCTCAGGCAGTCATTTGATTACTGAAACATGGGTACATGCTGGGCAAATAGGGGAGGTACAAGCAAGGCATGGAAGGGTAAGCTAGAGTCCCAGCCTATTGGGGCTTCCTTCGAGGCTCCAATACTGCAAAACAGTCCCCAAGGGACATGTCCTCCCTCTCACTCCCCCCCCCCCTCCCCCCTCATAAACAGCGTTCCCCAACCGCATCCGCCATCCCTCTGACATCCTCCTTAGCACCGCCAGGGAGCTCTTTATTGCTCTTTATTCTTGCTCTACTTCCCCAACGGCCGGGTCAAGGAGACCCCAACGCCTGGGTCAAAGGCCTGAACTGTCTCCCCACTTCCCTATGCATCCCCCACATTTCTCTCTTTCCCCCCTCTTACACCCAGGGCTCGCAAGTTCCCCATCCGCATCCGCCACCCTTCCTGCCCCCTCTGGAGCCAGTCTAAAGAGTTCCCCAGCGCCCGCGCCAAGCAGGCTTGGTGCCAGCCCTTGCTTCACATTCTCACTCATTTGCTCCATGTGCATTGTCCCCTCTCCCTGTGCCCCCCCCACTCCCCCCCACTCCCCCCCATCCCGCCCCCCTACTCCCCCCACCCGTTCTCCCCCTCTCTCCCCCACACCCAGGGCTCGCAAGTTCCCCATTCGCATCCGCCACCCTTCCCGCCCCCTCTGGAGCCAATCAAAAGAGTTCTTCATCTACTTTCCCAACGGCCGCGTTAAGCAGGCCTGGTGCCGAGCCTTGCGCGCCGCAGCCTTCCCCGAGGCAGACGACACCCTCTGGCAGGTTCGGGTCTCCCAAGCCTACGCCATCTACCTGGGGAAGATCCGAGCCTCGCGCCCGGACCTCTGGGTGAATGTGGAGGCGACGGATTTGGAGGGCGGGGGGAGGGATGCGCGTGGGGAGGGGGAGGGCGGGGGGAAGGCTGGGCGGTGGGGGGAGGGTAGGGGGCAGAGGAAGTGGCTAAGAAAGATCCGGTCTAAGCAGAGTGGGGGGATGGGGGTCCGGAGTGGCAGTGGAGGAGTGGGTACGTGGGGGGTAGGGGGGGGAGGAGGGGGAGGCGGAGGAGGGGGAGGGGGAGGGGCCGGGGGAGGTGCTGGGGGAGGGGCAGGAGGAGCAGCAGGGGGAGGAGCAGGGGCGTTTTCTGGCGAGGAATCAAGTGGAGAAGGCGGGTTGTGGGGGAGTTTCAGCATGAGCTCCTGGGGCAGTGGTAGCGTCAGTGGGGGGAGCAGTTGGAACGTCCGAAGCGGCAGCTTCGGCACGGCAGGCTCGGAGGGATCCCTGCTCCGGCCACCGAACCTGAAGGCACTGTTTCGGAAAGATCAGTCCCTGTCACAGCAGCAGGTTCAGGTTCAGCGGCCACTGCTGCCCCTGCCAGCGCCACCGCAGGCTGCATCCAGTCCTAGTCCTCGGCAAGTAGCACCAGGCGCAGCAGTGGGGGGACCAGCAAGTGCAGCAGCAGCAGCAGCAGCAGAACCAGCAGGAACGGGGTTGTCGCAGTTCCAGCACCAGCACCAGCACCAGCATCAGCATCAGCACCAGCAGCAGCATCAGCATCAGCACCAGCAGCAGCATCAGCATCAGCACCAGCAGCAGCATCAGCATCAGCAGCACCATCAGCATCATCATCAGCAGCATCGGGACATTTCCCCTCTGCAAGCTATCCCCTCTGGCCGCCCACTTCCGCCCTCCCTATCCACACAGTCAGACGCTGCTAGCACTGCTGCCAGTGGTTATGGTACTGGTGGCGTGGGTGGGGGTGGCAGCATTGGGGGCAGAGGCAGCATTGGTGGGGGCGGCAGCGTTGGTGGGGGCGGCAGCGTTGGTGGGGGTGGCAGCATTGGTGGGGGCGGCAGCATTGGTGGCAGTGGTAGTGTCGGTGGCGGTGGTGCCGGTGCTGGTGTTGTTGCTGCTGCTGGTGCTGGTGGTTGGGGTGGGGGATGGGAGGACGGGCCAGCAGGCGAGGAGAGCTCTCGCTGGGCCATGAAGCGCAGCCACACCGACCCTTCCCTCCCTCGCCCTAAGCTCTACAGCGCTGACCCCACCAGCAGCGCTGACACCACAAGCAGCAGTAGTGACCACAGCTCTACGTCCGCTTCCTTTGGCACCAATTCGTCTGGAATTAGCTCGTCTGGGCTCAGGAAGCGGGGGCACGGGGACCGAGCGCAGCTGGAAGGAGTCTCAGAGGGGGGCGTTTTGCTGGCCGATATCCCATTTCCACCATCCGTGTCAGCACCATCCGCATCTGCACCATCAGCAGGAGCAGCAGGAGCCGCAGCAGGAGCAGGAGCAGGAGCAGGAGCAGGAGCAGGAGCAGGAGCAGCATGGGCGGCAGGTGCAGGGGAGGAGGGTGTGGAGGGGGATGGGCCGGGGGTATTTAGTGGGCCGGTGACTCAGGCAGAGGCAGCTGCCGCCGTTGCTGCCATTGAAATGGCACATGGGGCACATGGGGCACATGGGGCACATGAAGAACCACTAGACACGATCTATTCTGGAGAGCCTGCTCTTCCTCCTGATGCTTCTGCTAGTGCACACAGTGGTGCTGCTGCTGCTGCTGGCATTGGGGGGGGCAGTGGCGAGCCGGAGGGGGCGGTGCAGTGGGCGAATGCGCTTCTGTGCCGGCTCTACTTCGACCTCTCGCAGGAGGACGCGCTCAGCAAGAAGCTGCAGGCCAAGTTCTCGGTACGTGCATGTGTGCCTGGACCCTGGGTCTCGTGTTCTGAGGTGCCCCAAAGGCACGCTGGGGCATGTATGCAGTGAGCGAATGCGCTGCTGTGCCGGCTCTACTTTGACCTTTCACAGGAGGACGCGCTCAGCGAGAAGCTGCAGGCCAAGTTCTCGGGACGTGCATGTGTCCCTGGACCTCTAGTTTGGGAATGCCTCAAAGGCCGCTGCTGCGCCGGCTCTACTTTGACTCTGGCAGGAGGATGCGCTCAGCAAAGAGCTACAAGCCAAGTTCTGGGTATGTGAAAGAAGAGCTCTTCATGGTCTGCAGTGCAGACCCGTATGCTTTGGTATTTTCATGTGTGCTATGGGAGATTTTTTAGTCGACTAAAAAATCATCCAAGAGTCGACTAAAAAATCGGCCCGTATGTTTTGGTATTTTCATGTGTGCTACGGGCGAGCTTTTGAGGCGCCTCAAAAGGCCTGCGGGGGGCCGTATGCTTTGGTATTTTCATGTGTACTACGGGAGAGCACAGCACATGCATGAGCCGTTTTCACAAGCTTGAGTCGGTCCATTGAGCAGATGGTGCTTCACTTCACTAGGGGAAGCTCCTATCTTAACATGTGTATTCCCCATCCCATCCCATCAACCTATAATTGAGGCAACCTATTAACCAAACCATCGCTTGTTCTTCGCTCCCTATCCCCCATACCCGTTCCGCCTTGCCTGATGCCCCTCACCTAGTTGTCTTCAGGAGAAGCTGTCTCTAGTTATCACGCCATCCATCACGGGATGGGGCCCATCTCCGGCACCCACCTCTTGCCCAAATGATCACTTGCTTTGCTCCTCACACCCTCGTCTTCCCTACCCCTTCGCCTCCTCTCACACCCCTTCCCTCCTATGCCTTCAGGAAAGCTGTCTCTGGTGATCACGCCATCCATCATGGGGCCCATCTCCTGCACCCGCCTCTCACTCGGCCCCATCCCTCCGCTCATCCGCTCCTCGCACCCATGCCTCCATTACCCCGTCGCCTCCTCTCTTGCCCCTTCCCCGTATGTGTATCAGGAGAAGCTGTCTCTGGTGATCACGCCATCCATCATGGGGCTCATCTCCTGCACCCACCTCTCGCCCTAGCAACCACTCGCTCCTCACACCCATGCCTCCATTACCCCGTCGCCTCCTCTCTTGCCCCTTCCCCGTATGTGTATCAGGAGAAGCTGTCTCTGGTGATCACGCCATCCATCATGGGGCCCATCTCCTGCACCCGCCTCTCACTGGGCCCCATCCCTCCGCTCATCCGCTCCATGCGCACTGTCAACCTCGCCATGCCAGGTGCACAGACACACACACTACCCCTACCTACCTTGCTTATCCATGTCATCATTTCCTGCACCCACATGTCACTGGGCCCCATCCCCCCCCTCATTCGCTCCATGCGCACCGTCAACCTCGCCATGCCAGGTACGCTCTTGCTTCCCTATCACATTGCGCCCTATTCATCACTCCTATGCCGCACTCTACCCTGCCATCTCCTGCCCCATCCCTTCCCTCGTTCGCTCTGTGTGCACTGTCGCACTGTCAACGTCGCCATGCCAGATGCACGCCAATTTCCCCATACCGTGCTTATGCATGCCATCTCTTTCGCCAGCCTCTCACTGGATCCCCCCTTACGCCAGCCTTCCTTTTACCATCTTCACATTATTTGTTATTCAGGAGGCGACCTGGCTCTAGATGTGGATTTGGAGTTCAAGGGAGCAGCCAGCATGGCCATAGAGACGAGCATTGACATGCGAGAGACTCAGTTCCTCAAAATGTGGGAAGAGCGGGACCTTTCCCGGGCAGAAAAGGACTCCGAAAGGAAGGCGGAATACTCCGGGCAGGTGGAAAATACTCCATTGGGAGCAGGCATGGAAGCGGGTATTAGTGAAGAGTCAACGGGAGGTTCGGCAGCTGCGGGAGGAGGTTCGGATGGAGCAGGTTCGGCCGGACCTGAGCGGCTGGTTCGACGAGGGTCGGGCATGGGAGAGGCGTTGATGAGTGACGAGACTGCAGCTGCTCTGGTGGGAGACTTGGAAGTTGCTGATGATGTGAATATAGAGGGCGCTGCTGCAGCTGCTGCTACAACCGCTGCTGCAGGTTCAGGTGAGCCAGGAGTTTTGTAACTTCAGGTGAGGAGCTTGAGCAAGGGACGGGGAAAGGGTTGATTCAGCTGTTCCGATGGGAGACATGGAGGTGGCTGACGACGTGGGGGGGGGGGGGGGCTGCTATAACTGCGGTCCGCTGCTGCAGTTGCAGCTGGTGCAGGTTCAGGTGGGTTGGTGTTGCTGCTGGTGAAGAAAGAATTTTTGTCTTGTTTTCCTCCTTTCCGTTTACATGCTCACAATTCTGCATGGCATATGTTTTCCGAGCGTCTCATTTTTCTCCCTCACCCCATCCCCTTGCTAGCCAAGGGCACACCAGCCAAGCCAGGCAGGAAGAAGAATCTCATCCGAGGGGTCCGCGGCATGGTCAGCAACATGGCCAATAGTCTCTCCCAGGTGAGCATTCTCCACCCTCCTCACTTTTCTTTCCCCTTGACTCACTTCTCTCATCCAGTGCCCTCTCATCCAGGCCCCCTTGACTCTGTTCTCTCATCCAGGCCCCCTTGACTCTGTTCTCTCATCCAGGCCCCCTTGATTCTGTTCGCATAACATCACATGGATTCTCTCATGGCGCATCTCGCTCCCCCTCCTCCTCCCCCCCCCCCCCCCCCCCACCTCCTCTTCTTCCCACGACCCCCCCCCCCAAAACCAGGTCCCCCTGACTCTTTCCTTCAACATCGCATCTGTTGTGAGCATTCGGGCTCCTGCCCCTCATGCTCTCCCCCTCCCCCCCCTCCTCCCCCATCCCGGTCCCCCTTAACAACTCCTTCAACATCACATGAATGCTGCGCCTGTGCCTTCAACATCCGGGTACCTGCGCCTTATGCTGCCCCCTCCCCACCCTTCCCTCCCCTCCCCCAAGCCCTCCCAACCAGGTCCCCCTTACCTTACCCTCTCCTTCAACATCACATCGGCTAAAAGAACGCTGCACATCTGGGTGCCAGCCCCTCACTCTCTCCCTTCTCCTCCTCTCCCCCTTTCCACTCAATCCAGGTCCCCCTGACCCTCTCCTTCAACATCACATCGGTTAAAGGAACACTGCGCATCCGGGTCCCTGCCCCTCCCTCCGACCGTCTCTGGATGTCGTTCGTTGAGATGCCCGAGATCGAGATGCAATCCCTGCCGTCCATTGGCGATCTCAAGCTCAAGCGCTACCCCATGGCCACTCTCCTTATAGAGAAGCTCAAGGTGGGTTACTACTCTTTTAATAAAAAATAATTTCTTTTGTAGTATTCTATCAACTCTTAATACTTACAAGCTCGAGCTTTGCCCCATGGCCACCATCCTCATTGAGAAGCTCAAGGTGGGTCATCAGCAGGGCATGGGCATGGGCATGGGCATGGGCATGGGCATGGGCACGGGCATGGGCACGGGCACAGGCACAGGCACAGCAGCGGAGCTGTATGGACGCCAAGCTGAGGTTCATGCTGCCAGACCCCCACAACCATGCTAACTCTGCATGCTCACATTATCCCAAAATTCTAAACTCTGAACTCCTCCCCCTTTCCAACCCCGCCCCCCCTGTCAGGCCCTAATCAAGCGCTCTCTGGTGCAGCCGAGCTGTGTGGACGCCAACCTGATCCCACTTAGAGGACTCTAAGCCCGAACCCTGAACCCACTCCCCCACCCCCCACTCCCCCTCTTGTCAGGCCCTAATCAAGCGCTCTCTGGTGCAGCCGAGCTGTGTGGACGCCAAGCTGCGATTCATGCCCTCAGACCCCCACAACCATGCCAACCCTGCATGCTCCCATTCACCTGAAACGCCAAACCCTGAGCTTTTCCCCCCGTCAACCCCTCCCCCCTCCCCCCCACATCCCTGTCAGGCCCTAATCAAGCGCTCTCTGGTGCAGCCGAGCTGTGTGGACGCCAAGCTGCGGTTCATGCTCTCAGACCCCCACGACTGGTTACCGCGTCAACCCTGCATGTTACCCTGGCGCCCCCCCGTCGATGCCTCTGTCACCCCCCCTCCCTCCACCCTCCCCTCCTCCTCCTCTGCCTCGACATTCTTCACTCCCTCTACCTCTCAAACCTCCCTCTCGGGCTTGGACCAGGCCTCCAATGCTGGCTCGGATAGCCGAGCCTCGGATGCCCGAACCTCTGCGCTGAAAGGCTCGGGAGCAGGCTTGGATGGGGAAGGCAGGGGTGGGGAGGCAGCAGGTGACGGAGCTTCGGAAGGGAGTTTGGGTTTTTATCAAGGTCCCGGAATGACTAGTGGTGATTCTGGTGGGTTTAGCAGCAGCAGTGGTGGCGGTGCTGCTGCTGCTGCTGCTGCTGCTGCTGCTGCGAGTGGTGGGCTGGTGAGCGGAAAAGGTATGCGGGAAGGAGCAAGGGCGTCAGTGAGGGGGTTGGTAGGCGGGATAATGTCCAGGAGGCACGGCACAGGGATGAACAGCCCTGTGCTGGACCTAGTAGCAAGGCGCTCCGGCAGCGGCACAAACAGCACCGGTGTCGTCATGGCTGCTGCTGGTGGCGGTGGTGGCAGTGGCAGCGGTGGTGCTCCTAGATCGCCTGTGAGAGCCGTTACAGGCATAGCCAAGGCTGCAATGCTGTCAAGTGGGGGAGCCAGCAGTGGGGATTCTGCTGGGGGAGGGGGGGCTGGTGGGGGAACAGGAAAAGGAGGACCTGCTGGATCGAGCTCTCTCAGTGGCAGTGGTGTCAGTGGTACCAGTGGTGTCAGTTGTACCAGTGGTGGCAGTTGTACCTGTTGTGTCAGTTGTACCAGTGGTGTCAGTGGTGTCAGCGGCTCTATAGTCCCCTTTAGCCCCCGCCTGTGCCCCTCGTCTCCATTAAGGCGACTCTCCCCCTTCCATGTGGCCACAGCCGAGCAGGACTCACAGCAACCGCATCCGCAGCAACAACACTGGCAACAGCAGCAGCAGCAGCACCAGCTGTTGCAAGATACCACTGGGGCCACCCCCCTAGTCCTACAAGCCATCCCAGCAGCAGCTACTGCAGTTACAGCAGCAGCAGCAGCCGCAGCTACAGCTGCAGCCAACGCCATGCCTGCCTCCTACACCTCGTCACCCCCCAGTATCCCGCCGGCCTCCTACTCTACCTCCTCGCCCCTTTCCGCTCCTCTTGCCACCCCTCCTCCTGCCTTCTCCTCCACCTCCACTGCTCGCCAGCTCTACTCTGTCGCCAAGTCTCACCTCAAGAGCGCAGCGTATGCGATCAAGCCCTCCTCCTCCGCCTACGCTTCCTCGAATACCCTCGCTGCCGATGTTGCTAGGGCTACAGATGAGTATGTTTCGGCAGCAGCAGCTGCTGCTCCTGCCGCTGCTGGTTCTCCTGAGGTTTCGGTAATTGGAACTGCTTCGGCAACAGATGCAGCAGGCTCGGGGCGAGGCTCGGCTGCTGTCAACGGCACAGGTTTGAAGGCAGGCTCGGCAGAGGTACGGCTTCGGCAGGACGCCTCGCCACTCCCAGTGCTCCGTCTCTCGTCGTCGAGCTCGTCCTTGGCTACATCTGACACACCGCCAGACTTTCTCCCTAATTCCACTTCATCCTCATTATTGCCCGATCCGCTAGTGTTAGAGAACCCGGCCAAGCCGCAGACAAGCCACGCCACTAAGGGCAGTGAAAGCACGGATGCTGGAGAGGATACGAACGCAGGCAGTGGACTGGGCACGTGTATGTTCACAGGAAGTGGTGTAAGGGGCAATGGCCTCGGTGCTGGTGGCGTGGTTGGTTTGGGCGGTGGCATGGGCAGTGGCATGGGCAGTGGCATGGGCGGTGGCATGGGCGGTGACATGGGCGGTGGCATGGGCAGTGGCATGGGCAGTGGCATGGGCGGTGGCATGGGCAGGGGGCGCATGAGAGTGAGCATGGCTGGGGAGCTTTTCGAAGGGCTTAGAATCTCCAAGGCATCAAGAATGGCTGCTAGAGAGAGGAGGAGAGGCGGAAGGGGACGAGGAGGAGCAGGAGGGGGGGGTGGTGGTGGTGGTAGTGGTAGCGGTGGTGAGGTAGATGGGGATGCAGGCTTGGCAGAAGACACATCAACACAGCAGCAACCTGTAAGGGGGTTCGAGGCATTCAAGCAGAGTCTCAGCGTGCTGGGGACTGAGTGGGGGGAGAGGGGGAGTGGGAAGGAGCGGGAGAGGGAGAGGTGGGCCAGGGCAGCGTTTGCAAGAGTGACAACGATGAGAAAGAAAGCGAGGGGGAGTTGGGACGAAACTTCTTTCGAAACCATGGAGGATGCAGAAGATATCGCATTGGATTCTGAGTTTGCTGGGCCTTCTGGGGTTTCAGGAGGGGTGAGGACTTCTGAAGACTATAGCTCGGGTCTGTTTGCAGGGAGAACTGCGTTGATGATGATGGGGGGGGGCGGGGGGTTTCGGGGTGTGGGCAGCAGTGTTGCAGGGGGAGGGGGTGGTGGAGGCCTGGTTGGGGGACTTCGGAAAATTGCAAGAAGCAAGAGCGGGAAAGGCAGGGGAGAGGGAGGCACAAGGGGCGGACAGGTGGAGGTGGATGGAGTGGGGGAGGAGGAGGGGGCGGCGCATGAGGGGGAAGGGGGGGGAGAAACGTGGGCTGATGCAGGGAGTTTTCCGGTGCCGATTGTGAGGACTAGGAGCTTGGACGTGGGGGGGAAGGAGGTGCAGAATAAGGAGGTTGTGAGAAGCCAGCTGTCGTCTCGTAGTGTGCGAGGTATGGAGGTGAGTGGTGACAGTGGGGGAGAGAAGGCAGGTGCTGGCTCAGGTGCTGGCTCAGATGCTGCCTCAGGTGGTAGCTCAGGTGCTGCCTCGGGTGCTGCCTCAGGTGCTGCCTCAGGTGGTACAACCAGAAAGTTAGCTTCAGCTGATTTAGCTTTGGGGGAGGGTGGAGGAGAGGATGGGGAGAGTGGGGAGGAGAGGGAGGACAGGTGGGGGGAGAGGATGTTTAGGGCCAAGGAGTTTGTGGGGCGGATTGGCAATAGGGAGGTGCGGGAGAGGCTTGAGGACAAGGCTAAGAAGGTCTTGGGGTTTCTGCATCGAGGGGAGAAAGGAGAGCAGTAGAAGGATGCATGTATCAGGCAATAGAAAGAGCAAAACCAAGTCGTATTGCTTGGGGATGATTCAACCGCGTTCCTTGATATGTTCATATGTGCCATGGTATTTCTTTAAGGTTGAGGGGGTGCTTGTGTATTGTGGTTAGTTATATATCACTCTTCTAACCACAGCTGACCTTACACATGGGACTGTAACGCGTAAATGGCAGGATTTTGTTCGCACACTGCAGGTTTCGCGAATTCTCAGCTGCCTCTTCTCGCCAATGGCATCTCTGTCGAATTCTGGCGACGAACCGCAATGTGTCAGCCATTCGCCAATTTTCGAGAAAGTCGCGTCGCGACCGCCTTCACTTGGTCCTGCACTTCCTGCAGTCACATTGCCCCAGTCAGGCAGGCAGCCTTAGATCCATCCAATTGCCATCGAATCCATCTAAACCGTCGATTCGTTCACAGCTCCTGTCCCTCGATTCGCACGGCGCAGGCATTCCCGAAGCACCTCAGTTTTCCTACCTTGAAAGTTGCGAGTTTTCTTCCTCCCTTGGCAGCTCTGTCCCCCCCACCAGCCCAAACAGCCACCAAGTGGTAAGCGCGTGTCCCAAAAAATCGTTTTCGTGAAATACCCTATTTAACCGTTCTAGATTGTTATTTGAACGTTCCAGAACGCAAAATATATTGAAGAAACGCAATCGGACGTACTTTTCTGACACGCCTTTATGGAAACCGCTGTTGCTTGTTTCTCCACACCCACACGCCGTACCGACGGTTCCCCGCCGCTTCTATCTCTGGCGGTCGTTTCTGAGTCACTTCGCATTGGGCCTTCGAGTCAGCAACTTGTTCTTAGTGTGCACATGGTCGTAATCGCGGGACGTCGTCTCCGGATGTACTCTTGAGTTCGTACCTTGTATGACTAGCAAGCTGGTTGCCGCATGCGTTTACCATAGCTTACTTTGAGCTTACTAACGCCAATACCTCTTTGGCTCCATAGATCAGAGCGATCCTCTGCTTTCTCTTCTCCGAGTCTTCAACATTTCCGTCGGCAATTTCCTAGAAGCTGCCCACCATTGCAAGCTCAGCAGAAGCCGGTTCCTGTTACAATCGCGTTGTCGGGTGGCTCAGCGTCGCATGTACCGGATTGTCGGAGTTAGTAGATCGAGCAGGCAAAACGACGGGATGCTGGTAAGTGTGGATGCGACTGCTTATATCCCGGAATCGAGACATTATGGCCTTTGTGTCGACTCAAAAGCCATCTCGTTTCTAGATCGAGCAGGCAAAACGACGGGATGCTGGTCAGCTCGGATGCAATTGAGTAGAATCAGGCGCGTTGTAAGGTGGCTCAGCGTCGCCACCTACCGGGTTGTCGGAGTTAGCAAATCGAGCAGGCAAAACGACGGGATGCTGGTAAGCTTGGACACTATTGCGTATAACCTTCGATCTCGCCTAATTACTCCGGAAGAAAGAACCCTACATCTGAAGACACGTGGCTCGTGCATAGGATCCTACACGGTCTATTTGTGACTCGTGGGTTGTTTTGAGACGTCTCAAAACTACTCGTCTCTGTTACACGGCGAGTGACTCGTCTGTTGACCCTCACTTGCGAGCGAAGGAGGCGGGTGTTCGCTGCTCTCCTGACCCTCTCCCGTTGCTCGTTACATCTGCCGAATCAGCTTGTTCCTTCATCTCCTTGACTTGGTTTCCGCTTTGCTTTCTCCTTCCCGAATCATTCCCACAGCTCCGAGCGACGAAGACGGTAGTGTGCTGCACGCTGGGCCCGATCGTATGGGGGCTGCTGTCGCTGCTGTTCCTGCTCCTCGTGGCTCTGGGAGTCACGGCACTCGTGCTCTACTTCGTCTACAAACCCCAGGTGCGTGCGTGCCTCCCTTCCTAGCGTCGTAAGCAATTTCCTATTCACCCTGAACCCATCACAGGGAAAATATCGAAAACGAGCCCCATCGTTGTCCCATCTCTGTTTGTTTGCTCTCATAAACTTTCCTCCTCCTTGCTGCCTCTCTTCCCTGTCTCCCGCTCCCCCTCCCATCAGCTACCAGAATGCGACGTACAGAGCGTAACGGTAACCAGACTGAACGTCACTCGCCTGACCTCGTATCCGTTCAACGAAACGACCTACGCAGCTCTCGCCGCCATGGACACGGCCAGCAGAGCAGCCGCTTTGGGAGTGAATAACGGCAGCACAGCCCTTACTGACCCAGCGTCTTCGCTAGATGCTCTAGGCAATGCCACCGTGCCGCCGAGGCTGGGGCTGAATGCTGACGTGGGATTCACCCTGGAATCGCGGAATCCCAACAAGGTCGCCATCGACTATAAATACGTGAACGCCTCTATCATCTACCGCGGGGTCACTGTGGGAAACACGTCGGTAAGTTTTGTGTCGATCATCTTTCAAGACCCTGCCTCTTGAGACAAGCCCTCCTTTTCATTTCCTCTCTAGGATACGTGAACGCGTCGATCATCTACGGCGGCGTCACTGTGGGAAACACCTCGGAAAGCCTGAAGAAAGCCCATCTGTCATCCCATCTGAAGAACACCTCATCCATTTCCCAGCATCTCTGCTTCCCCGACTCCCCTCTCTCTCTTCCCTCTCACTCTTCCCTCTCTCTCTTCCCTCTCACTCTTCCCTCTCACTCTTCCCTCTCACTCTTCCCTCTCACTCTTCCCTCTCACTCTTCCCTCTCACTCTTCCCTATCACTCTTCCCTCTCACTCTTCCCTCCCACTCTTCCCTCTCACTCTTCCCTCTCACTCTTCCCTCTCACTCTTCCCTCTCACTCTTCCCTCCCACTCTTCCCTCCCACTCTTCCCTCTCACTCTTCCCTCTCACTCTTCCCTCTCACTCTTCCCTCTCACTCTTCCCTCTCACTCTTCCCTCTCACTCTTCCCTCTCATTCTTCCCTCTCACTCTTCCCTCCCACTCTTCCCTCCCACTCTTCCTTCTCACTCTTCCCTCTCACTCTTCCCTCTCACTCTTCCCTCTCACTCTTCCCTCTCACTCTTCCCTCTCACTCTTCCCTCTCACTCTTCCCTCTCACTCTTCCCTCTCACTCTTCCCTCCCACTCTTCCCTCTCACTCTTCCCTCTCACTCTTCCCTCCCACTCTTCCCTCCCACCCTTCCCTCCCACTCTTCCCTCTCATTCTTCCCTCTCACTCTTCCCTCTCACTCTTCCCTCTCACTCTTCCCTCTCACTCTTCCCTCTCACTCTTCCCTCTCACTCTTCCCTCTCACTCTTCCCTCTCACTCTTCCCTCTCACGCCCCTCATTTGCCCCCTTCGCATTGCCTGTAGATACCGCCCTTCACGCAGCAGGCTCAGACCAACACGAGCGTGCCAGCACAGCTCATCGTCATCGACTTCCCGCTCGATATAGTCACGGGGCCCGTCATGCTGGCTGACCTGAACGCCGGCAGCGTTCCTCTACAGGTAGGGCGCTGTGTTGGTACGGCTCATCACAGCTTACAGGCGATTTTTGAAAATTCTGAAATGGGGGCGCCCACAACATGAGGGCGCTGTGATGGTATGGCTCATCACAGCTTACATGGTCGTGGATCCGTACTCATTTCGGTTCCCGCTCGATATAGTCACATGGCCTGTCATGTTGGCAGACCTAAACGCCGGCAGCGTTCCTCTACAGGTACATAAGTAAATAATGGTAGGGCGCTCAATGGTAACCATGTTCATTTAGGTCCCGCTCGATATAGTCAAGGGACCTGTCATGTTGGCAGACCTAAACGCTGGCAGCATTCCTTTACAGGTATATAAGTAAATAATAGGTCTTCTTACTGCTGTTGCCTGCAGCCTGTGTCATAAAGAATCACACTTGCATTGTTGGTCAATCATCTCTCTCTACCCTTTTTTGTCACCTCCTCCCCTCTCCCACCCCCCACAACACACACTTAACCCACTTCTCTCCTCTCTCCTTCCCTTATCGTTGGGTCACAGTTGCTGCTTCAACTAGGAGCGAGGATCAACATTCTGGGGGTAGCATCCCCCTTTGCCCTGGTGAGTTCGCCCGCACGCCCCCTTGTTGCTAGAGTGCCCTTGGGAGGCAGTTTAAGCTGGGAAACAAAACCTGGCTCCAAGGAAATATGAAATTGGAATAATTGTTATCACACTGACTCATGAGTCCTCAACTTTACTTGTCGCCGTGCCTCTACTTTACTTGTCGTTGACTCATGAGTCCTCAACTTTACTTGTCGCCGTGCCTCTACTTTACTTGTCGTTGACTCATGAGTCCTCAACTTTACTTGTCGCTGTGCCTCTACTTTACTTGTCGTTGACTCATGAGTCCTCAACTTTACTTGTCGCTGTGCCTCTACTTTACTTGTCGTTGACTCATGAGTCCTCAACTTTACTTGTCGCTGTGCCTCTACTTTACTTGTCGTTGACTCATGAGTCCTCTCCTCCTTCCATCCCCTCCAAATTCTGTCATCCCCTCTGCCTCCCACCCTCTGTCGTCCCCTCTGCCTCCCACCCTCTGTCGTCCCCCCTGCCTCCCACCCTCTGTCATCCCCCCTGCCTCCCACCCTCTGTTATCCCCTCTGCCTCCCACCCTCTGTCGTCCCCTCTGCCTCCCACCCTCTGTCATCCCCCCTGCCTCCCGTTTTCATCCCCTGTCATCCCCTTGCCATGTCCTGCCAGGTCGGTCTGTTGTGCGATGTGACTGTGGACCCAATAACCCGCACGGTCAAAGAAACGCATTGCTCGCTGCAGAATGTAGGGTTTGCATGATCAGGCGCGAAAGAGCAGCTTGACAATAAATCACTGTAGAAGCCCCTGCCACCTCTGCATGTCGTCTCCAGGCCTTGTCTGTTGTATTGTTCTGGTTATACAACCAGGTGTTTTAGTCACTTCCCATCGATTAGTACGTCTCGAGTGCAAGAAAGTTACAGCACATTGGTAGGTAGCACAGGGAATGTTTTCATGCAGCCATGTCCCTAGGTACGGGTACAGTATGAAGAATGACACAGAACAGAATGCAACATAAAGCTTACAACAACATACACCAGTCCAGACTACACTAGCTACATCCATACCAGTGCTGAATTTGTTTGTGGCCTGGGGGTATGGCTACACCAGCTACATACATATCTACTTGAATGTTCTGACAGCATGCGGATGTTAAAGTGAGAATGAAAGGTTAGAATGAGGTGGTACAAGGTGATATCCTAAGGGGTTGTACTCTATATGAGCATGCACCTAGCTAGCCTATAACATATACAAATTATATGTTGACACACCCCCTAGGCTAGAACAGGGGCAGCGACTAGCAAGAGACACACAACTCAGGGTGGCACTACTAGTCCAACCTCTGAGACAAGGGTCCGAAGACCAGTCAGCAAGAGTGCCAACCAACTAAACTAGTGTAACCCAGGGAGGTACTACTAGTCCAGCCATTGGGACAAGAGCCACAAGGCCAGTCAGGATAATATAAAAGTAGTACACAATCAAGGTCCTAGCAAGTGTGACCGTAATCCCCCGGATATAACACCCTAAGGTATTGTCAAATTTTCATAAAACAAAAACGAATGGGTGTTAACAGTAGGCTGGAAAAATATAAAGCCCATGTATTGTGTAAAATGCAAAATGAATTTGGGTTGTAACAGGCACTGTAAGGCTAGAACTTCACGGAGCAGCTGCTAATGAGGAATCTGCTACAGAGATTCCACACTCTGACAGGGTCAAATCGGTGCCTTAGAAAATGGCGGGAGATTGATCCAACAGCGCCAGGTGTTCTTGACCAATCTCTGGTGAGCGCTGTGAACAGAGTCAGTTCCGTGCCTCGGAAAGCGGTCGAGATATTCTCGACCGTCGTTGACGTGATCGAGGTGGTTCAACTGCAAGATGGACGGTCGAGACTCGAGATCCTGTCGACACTTGCTGTATTTCGATTTCGCTTTGCCACTTGCATGGATTCTTCTGCCCGTTTGTGTGCTGCTAATGGCAGCTGACGCGATTTTCATCCTAACTCGCGTTTTGCAGCTGAGCGAACCTTGTTAATGAAGGGCGAAATACTGTTTGAAGGCAAGAAAAACGAGCAGGGTGTTATGTACAATGCAAACTAAAAAAAGCGGGTACTCTAAAAAATGTAGCATATCATAAGCTACCCATCGCATATGCCACCCATGGAGTGAATATTTCGGCGGGTGTTACATACGGGGGATTACGGTACAAGAACTAGACCAAGCTGTACACAGTGTCGCTGATGATCTTTAGGCGCAAGTGTCTTCGTAAAGATATCAGCTGTATTGGCACATGAGGCCAGGTGTACTACACGGGCCTAGCGGCGCTGCTGTAGCTCGCGCAGGAGGAAGTACCGCAGCTGGATGTGATTCGCTCTACCCTCAAGTGGAGGCTCCTGACACAGGAGGATCATGGCCCTGTTGTTAGCGTACAGGACTTGTGCAGAGCTAGGCCGCTCACCTAAGTCTGTGAGCAAGAAAGTCAGCCAGTGGAGCTCCTGTGCCGCCATGGCACCGGCGTAGATTCCAGCCTCACAGTTAGACTGGGCAACAGACGACGAGCAGGTGGACCTCCCCGAGATGGCACCTGCACCAAGGCTAAAACAGTAGCCTTGGGAGGACCTAAGCGTCTCAGCGTCGTCTGCCCACGAAGCGTCTGTGTGCCCCGTAAGGACCATTGGCATGTGTCCTCCTAGCACTAACCCCATGCCCGATGTACTTGCTAGGTAAACCCCAGGTGGGGAAACTGCATCGACGTAGGTGCCAGTGGATCTCCAAGATGCCATCTCCGCGTCCATGGCAGCTATCCACTGAAAGGCCCGGAGTCCCGAGGTCGTCTCCGCATAAGTGCAAGGGGTCAGTATGTCAAAGGCGTCTGGGTCCCCCTCAAGGACTAGCAGCATGGAGTAGAGATGAGGCACAGCCTCGGACAGGAAAGCAAGCTCGTACTGCCGGTCCTCCAGGACGTCACTGGCAAGGGAAGGAGCACCCCCGATGGACGGAGGACGGGCAGGATCCGGAGCGGTGGCGAAGTCAAGGCGGCGGGTAGAGGCGAAGTCAGCGACGGCAGCGACAAGCGCATCAAGACTCGAGACAGGAACATACGGGTCGGTAACAAGGGAGGCAAGGACCCAAGGGACAAGAGGAATAGCGGCACAAAGAAAGTCAGACAGAGGAGGCAGAGCGACAACAAGCGATGACGGAGGAGGCGACGGGAGGAGGGGAGGACGAGACGCGTGTGAACGAAACAACATAGGGTGAAAATGCTGGACAGGAGAGAAAGGACGAGCACGGGAGGGACGGCGAGACCAGACGTGAGACGGAGGCGTCGGGTCCGGGGACAGAAGGGGAGACTTAAGAGAGGAACGAGGGGGAAGACGAGCCGGAGACGAGTCCGGCAGAGGAAACACAAGGCCGTAGATAGGCAGGGGAGGCGGCCGCAGGGGAGGCGTAGGTGGGCGGTCAGGGGAGGGAAGACCGAGAAGGCAAAGGGCAGACACCGACAGCGAATGCTGCTGCTGCTGCTCCACGCCAACACCAGATCCTCCAGCTGCACCATGGCTACCTCCGAAACGCTCCACTCCAGCACCCCCAGAACAAGAAACCTCTCCAGCACCAATGCCACCCCCACGACCGCCAGGACGAGCCACAACAGGAACCCCAGGACTAGCACCCCCAGAACCAGAACCCCCAGAACGAGAACCCTCTCCAGCACCGGTGCCACCCACGAGAACGCTAGGACAAGCCACGACCGTAACCCAAGGACTAGCACCCTCCTCAATGCTAGGACTCGCAGAACGCGCGGACCCCTACAGTGGGTGTGGCGGCGGCGGTGGCAGCTGCTGCGGCTACTACGGCGGCAATGGTGGCAACTTCTGTGGTTGCAGCGGCGGAGGAGGAGACACCGGGGCGGAGACAGGCAGCGAAATCGAAGCCACGGGGCCCTCGGAGTCAGCCAACTCCTCCACCGGGACCACCGACGGGAGGGGAGTTACATGAGACACACCAGACAGGGCAGGATGGGGAGGGAGAGGAGCAGGGGCTACTGGGGAAGTGGGAACCTGAAACAGGGGTGGGGAAATCGGGAGACCTCGGTGGGCAAAGCAGTAGTAGAAGGAGACACACTCGTCAAAAGTGACGTCACGCGAGTGAAAGAAGAGGTGAGAAGGTGGGGAAGAGCAGTGGAGAGCGGTGGAGACAAGCCGGCAGATGTGCCGGCTCAGAAGGGAGCCAAGACCGGTAGGTCGGGGGCGGCAGAGCGTCACGGCGGTATAGCTACTCGGCGGCTTGGCGGTACGGCGACGCGGCAGCTGGACGGCGCGGGCTGTGGCCGGCGGAGCAAGGGCCGGTGGCGCTGGGGGCCGGTGAGTGAGGGGCCAACGGGGCGCATAGGGCTAGCGGGGCGCACGTGGTTAGCGGGGTGCACGGGGCTAGCGGGGCGCACGGGGCTAGTGGGGCGCGACGGGGCTAGCGGGGCGCGAACGGGGCCAGCGCGACGCACGTGGCCGGCGGGGCTCACGGGGCTAGCGGGGCTCGACGGGGCCAGCGGGGCGCTAACGGGGCCAGCGGGGCGAACCGGGCCAGCAGGGCGTACGGGGCCAGCGGGGCGAACGGGGCCAGCGAGGCACACGGGGCCGGCGGGGCGCACGGGGCTAGCGGGGCTCGACGGGGCTAGCGGGGCGCGAACGGGGCTAGCGGGGCATTAAGGGGCCAGCGGGGCGCACGGGGCCAGTGTGGCGCTAACGGGGTCAGCGGGGCGCTAACGGGGCGGCTAGGACTAGGCCTAAGGCGGAAGCGCTGACCTAACCTAGCGTGATACCATGTTAAAGTGAGAATGAATGGTTAGAATGAGGTGGTACAAGGTGATATATCCTAAGGGGTTGCACTCTATATGAGCCTATAACATATACAAATTATATGTTGACAGCAGATTGCTGCTGAGTCACAAACAGCAGCAGAAAAACGAACAAGGTGGTACACAGAAGGACTACCACTGCCGCAGACCAGAGCAGCATCCATGTCTACAAGGACAAAACTGCCGCCGTCTTGACCCTTCCCAGAATCACTTCCTGCATCATGTCACCATCATCCGTGTCATCATCAACCTCAGCACCGTCAACATCATTGTCAGCATTCACATCATTCCCATCGTCATCCACGTCAGCACCATGTGAAAAATCATGCTGATTGTCAGAATCCCCTGTATTCTCACCATCACCCCATGATTCCTCTTCTCCCTCCTCTTCTCCCTCCTCTTCTCCCTCCTCTTCTCCCTCCTCTTCTCCTTCCTCCACCTCCCACTCGCCATCCTCTCCTATCTCATCCTTCTCCTCCCGTGCCTTCTCTTCCTCCTCCCTCTTCTCCACCTCACTCTTCCCACCAACCCTCCCCCCTCCTCTCGCCTTTACAGCCCCTCCCTTCCAAACCAGAGGCACGGATGTCCAGGTAGGGCCCCCTGCTGCCATCATCCCAAGCCTTCCTGAACCTCCAGCCACCCCCCCTGCCGAGCCTCCCGCCAGACCTCCAACCGAACCTCCCACCGAGCCTCCACCCGAACTTCCTGCCGAATCTCCACCCGAACCTCCACTCGAGCCTGCAAGGTCGCAGGCTAGGGCATCCGAAGCTGGGATGAGGGTACCGTCGGAGCTCTGGAGATAGCCTCCAAAGAGGAAGATCCGGTTCTTGAGAATGGCGTGCTCGAAGTGAATGCGGGGGAGGAGAGGGTGGAGGGGGAGGAGAGGAGGAGGAGGGGCGAAGAGAGGAGGAGGGGGAGGGATGCGAGGATGCTGCAGCTGCAAACGTTGCTGCTGCTGTTGCTGCTGCTGCTGCTGCTGCTGCTGCCCCTGATGCTGCTGCTGATGGTGTTGCCGCTGGTGCTGTTGCTGGTGTAAGGTTCTCAAGCCAGCGTGGTTATGCGTGGGGTGAGTGGCGAAGGTTGGAGGTACCTGAAATCTCTCCCAACCATGCACAAGCACCAAAGATGCAACAACCATCCATCACCACAGCATAAAGAGAATGTGATGGGAAAACGGCATGGAGAGAGCAGGAGCGTGATGAGAGAGAGTGCGAGAGGAAGAGAGGGCGAGAGCAAGAGAGGGCGAGAGCAAGGGAGGGCGAGAGCAAGAGAGGGCGAGAGCAAGAGAGGGCGAGAGGAAGAGAGGGCGAGAGCAAGAGAGGGCGAGAGCAAGAGAGGGCGAGAGCAAGAGAGGGCGAGAGCAAGAGAGGGCGAGAGCAAGGCAGGGGGAGGGGGAAAGGAGACGAATGAAGGAGACAAATGAACGTAGGTTCAAACGACCCAATTGTGCTTACACCTCGTCCATCAACCCACCTGTAACACCTTTCTTGCTCTGGTAATCGCGTCGTACACGTGCAGGCACCCGTCCCTTCTCCATACAAGGAAGCGCGGCACGCACCCCACGCCCCACAGCGCTGCAGCATGCTCCAACAACCACGTCTCGGGGTGCAGGCCCTTGCCAGGGGGGAGGGTCACCCATGTCCGAGCAGAGGGGTCGTACATGCATACTAGGTAGGGAGAGTGGGAAGCGGGGGTGGTGGTGGTGGTGGTGGTGGTGGTGGTGGTGGTGGGGAAGTTGTGGATGGTGTTTCTGTTTGTGATGGTATTGTTTGGGGTCCATACACCAGGAGCAGCAAGAGGAGGAGGAGGGGGAGGAGGAGCAGCAGGAGCAGGAGCAGGAGCAGCGGTTGCAGCGGCGGCGGCGGCAGCAGCAAGAGAGGTGTTTGGATCAGCAAAAGCAGCTGCCACAAAATTGGCAGCGTTTGGTGGCGCATCAGCAGCAGCATCAGCCACCGCAACCCTTAACTGGTTTCTCCCCAGAAGAAACAGCCGGCCTCCCAGCACCACCCCACTGCACTCATAGCACGCCGCAGGCATCCCTGGTACACACTCCCATACATCCGTTTTCGGGTCGTACATCTCAGCACAGTATATAGGCTCGCATGCCCTCCCTCTCTCCCACAGTCTTCCTCCCGCTACAATCACCTTGCCTTTGATCACTCCGAACGCGAACCCCACCCGACCCTTGTTCATAGGTGCGGCGCGCACCCAGGCGTCCCGGACCGGGCTGTACCTCCAGACCTGCACCTCACGTTCGGCGAGCTCAGGGTCGGGAGCAGCTGCTGCAGCCTCGGCATTACCAGCAGCAGCAGCAGCAGCATTAACACCATCAATCGAAGCAACAGCAGCAGCTGCTGCTGCACTCATAGACGTTCGGTCCGGGGCGACATCCGAGCCTCGGGTCCAGGCCCGGTGCCGAGCCTTTGCCGAGCCTCGGACAGCAAAGAGGAGGAGTTCCGAGCCTAAGGCTTGGAGGCGGCAGTCCCATAGGGTGCTCGTGGGGGTAGGATTGGCGAGGTGGGGAGGGAGTGGGGAGAGAGGGTAGAGGGAGTTGGAAGGAGGGTGGAAGCCCACGAGGCGAAGGCAAGAAGGGGGAAGGGACGGGGAGGAAGAGGAGGGCGACGAGGAAGGGGAGGGCGACGAGGAAGAGGATGGCGACGAGGAGGCAGAAGAGGATGAGGGATAGGGTCGGGATGAAGGGTCGGTGTGGTGGTTGGAGGGAGAAGGCGAGGGAGTGGCACGCTGAATTGGATTGAACTGCGTTCCGAGTGACCCTGAGTTGTGACCACTCCTTGTGCTTCCCTCACTCCTAGTGCTGCTGCTGCCCTTAATGCCAGTCTGCCCGCTTATTGCTGGTGTGGGCCCACCCCCGCCACTCCCACCACTCCTACTCCTGCGGCTTGAGTGGGTAGAGAGGGGTGGCTTCCTGTGGTTTGAGCTTGGCTCTTTGACCAGGGAAGAGGAGGCACCATGCTCCACTGCTGTTGATGCTGCTGCTGTTGCTGCTGCTGCTGCTGTCGGTGCTGCATCTGCTGCTGCTGCTGGCGATGATGGCAGTGAGAAAGCAATAGACGAGGCACGTGGGACGGCGGTGGTGTTTCTAGACGAGGAGGATGAGGAGGAGGAGGAAAAAGAGGAGGATGAAGAGGAGGATGAGGAGGAGGATGGTACTCCAAGGTTCGAGATGGAGAGGGTGGGTAGGGAGAAGCGGGTATTGTGAGAGAACTGAAGGCTTCTCGTAGAGAGTGAGCCCATGCTGCTGCTCCAACTGTGGCTCCTATTCCTGTACTTATCTCCCACGCCCCCTACCACCTCCACCTTCTTCCCATTATCTGCTCGGTGATCTCTCCCCTCCTCTCCTCTCCCCTCCTCTCCTCTCCCCTCCCCCCCTCCGCTACCCTCCCCACCTCCTCCCCTCTCCGCTGCTCTCCCAACCTTCTCTTTCCCACGTTTGTCCTCCCTTCCCCACCCCCATCCGCCCCCTCTAGGCAAGCCACTGGCCCTTCCGCTGCTGAATGCAGCTGTTTTACCACTCCCTGCTCTCTCTTCTCTGCCTTCCCCTCTGCTGCTGCTACTGCCTCTGATACCCTCCCACTCTCTTCCCCCTTCATTCCAATCCCGAAATTTCCCTCTGCTGCTACTGCTACTGCCGCTGCTCGTGCCTCTGCTAACCCCTTCGTTCCTGCACCCACCCTCTCCTCCACTAGTCCTCCCGTCTCTGCATTCCTCCTTCGCTCTGCTGCTCCTGCCATTGCTGCTGCTGCTGGTCTCCCTGTTTCTGATGCTGCTGCTTCTGCTGATTTGACTGCTAGTGCGCATATTCAAGCCTTCACTGATCTGCCCACCGCTGCTACTGCCCCCCCTGCTTCTGATGATGCTGCTGCTGCTTCTGCTCGTTAGACTGCTAGTGTTGCCAGTTGAGCCTTCACTGATCCGCCCACTGCTGCCATACCTGCTCCTTCCCCTTCCCTCCTCACTCCTCCCTCTGCTAAACCCACTCAGTCCCCTCCCTTCTACACCCCGCCCCCTTCCCTCCACGCCCCTCCCCCTCCCTTCCACCCTCCCCTCACCCACACAAACCCCCTCATCCACACTACTCCCCTCACCAGCACTACCCCCCCCAGTACCACCCCCCTCACCCCCATTCCAAGGCACGATCAAGAACACCCATTCGTCCATCCTCTTGCTCCTCCTCCTCAACTCCCGCACCTCCTCCCCCGCCAAACCTTGCTCCCAGGCTCGGCAAACAGAGCGGCCCGAGGATAGGTTCAGCCATGGCAACCGGGAGAGAATGTCCAACCCAACGTCCTCAGGTAGGTTCGGAAACAGGCCCGGCATAGCTTCAGGGTCAGTGCTTGGAGAATCTTCGGCCAAGGACTCAGCTCCAGGTTCGGGACCACGTTCGGTTGGTGGTTCGGGTGGAGCCTGTGGCTGCTGTCGGTCCTCAGCTTCAGGCTCGGTGGTTGGTTTGGCAAGTGACTCTGCGGCCTGTGCTTGAGCCAGTGGTGCCCGTGACAGTATACTCAGGCCTTCACCCTCGTGCTCATCGTCCTCTTGCAGCGTTCCCATGCCTTCCCGCCCGTGCTCCGTGTGAGTCGACTCTATAGAAGCGTGCGCATGCTCTTTCCTCTCCTCAGTCTCCTCTTGCTCACGCTCTTTCCCTTTTCCAGCCTCCTCTTGCAGAAACGGCTTTTGAGTCGACTCAAAAGCAGACTCTTGCAGAAACGGCCATGGCACAAGAGCAGGCATGAGGGGTAGAGCTTCCCTCTGTGAGGATGCCTTGTGAGGCGCCTTATTGGGCAGGCAGGGGAGAAACCCCCTCTCTGAAGGCCCGTTTTTGGCTGGTGTGGCGCATACTGCAGCAGGTTGGCAAGCTTTCTTATGCGTGATGGGAATTGGTGGTATGTCCAAGCATGGCCACTGTATGGCTGTCCTCCTTCCCTCCCGGCAACCAACACTGCCAGCACCGCAACCATGCGTGGTAGCAACAGCATGGCGCAGGGTGACTTGAGTCGATGCCCCGGTGCTGGCGCCTCGAGGAGCAGCAGCAGCAGAAGCGGCAGAAACAGCATGGCGCAGGGTGACTTGACTCCATGCCCCGGTGCTGGCGCCTTGCAGAACAACAGCAGGATCAGCAACAGAAGGAGCGGCAGAAAGGGCATGGTGCATAGTGACTTGGCTCGATGCCGACATGCTAGCGCCGTCGCTGCTGCAACCGCCACTATCCTCTGCACCATCATTCCCATCATGGTCGCCTATTTCACCATCGTAGTTGCTGCCATCCGCGCCAGCAACATCACCATCAGCACCGCCAGCACCACTAGCGCCGTCGCTGCTGCAATCGCCACTATCGGCTGCACCATCATTCCCATCGTGATCGTCTATTTCACCATCGTAGTTGCTGCCATCCGCGCCAGCACCAGCACTGGCATCGCCACCAGTAGTATCACCATCAACACCCCCATCAATGCCATGTGCATCAACATCATCACCATCAATCCCATGTGCATCACCACCATCACCATCAATCCCATGTGCATCAATGTCATCACCATCAATGCCACCATCAACATCATCACCATCATCACCATCATCACCATCATCACCATCATCACCATCAATCCCATCCTGATCGCTATCCTCCACGTCAGCATCTGCATCGTAGAAAACTGCCTCATCACCACCATCATCACTGTCACCATCTCCGGCTGATGCATAATTGATCTCTGACACGTCAGCAGCAGCCACGTCATCCCTGCACACGTCATCACTGCCCATGCTGTAGTATCTGCTGCTGCTTCTGATCACCTCTCTGCTCCTCCTGCTCTCACTGCCCTCCCTCCTCGCCCTGCTGCTCCTCAGCCTCCCACTACTACTACTACTACTAGAAAGGGCGTTACTGTCTCTACTACTACTACTGCTGCCCATTGCTTCCCCCTTGCCCTCCCTACTGTTGCATCCATTAACATCCGCAGGAGCGCTTTCTACAATCACACCAGATGCGGCACTATGGCCACTCCCGTTATTGTCACCTGAGTCCTCACCTTCACTACCCAGTCCATCCCCATCCGTTACAGGAACAACCCTCCACGACCTCCTCCTCCTCCTCCTGCTGCTGCTGCTGCTGCCACACAAACCCAGCAGCTGCACCCTCCTTATAATACCACCTCTCCGCTTCACACAGTCACCATTAGCCCTTCCCTTGCCTTTGCCCGTGTTGCCTCCACCCTGGCCTCCACCGTCGCCTTTTCCACAACTCTTGTCTGCAGAAGTACAACTCTTGCTCACTGGAAGAATGTCCGACGATCTGCTAGCGCCACTCCCTGCATTTAGGCCACCACTCCCTGCCTCAAGGCCACCACTCCCTGCCTCAAGGCCACCACTCCCTGCCTCAAGGCCAGCACTCCCTGCCTCAAGGCCAGCACTCCCTGCCTCAAGGCCAGCACTCCCTGCCTCAAGGCCAGCACTCCCTGCCTCAAGGCCAGCACTCCCTGCCTCAAGGCCAGCACTCCCTGCCTCAAGGCCAGCACTCCCTGCCTCAAGGCCAGCACTCCCTGCCTCAAGGCCAGCACTCCCTGCCTCAAGGCCAGCACTCCCTGCCTCAAGGCCACCACTCCCTGCCTCAAGGCCACCACTCCCTGCCTCAAGGCCACCACTCCCTGCCTCAAGGCCAGCACTCCCTGCCTCAAGGCCAGCACTCAGGGGTTCTGACCCGGTCCAATTGCCTCCTCCTGCGTTGCTTTGCCTGTCAAGCTGCCTCAAACCTTCACTATAATCACCGTGTGTCCGCCTCCCGCCGCCATTGTCGCTGCTGTGCTCCTTGCGTGGATTCAAATTCCCCCCCACAGCAACCACAGCAACCACCCTCCTGGTTGAGTGTTTTTGAGGAGCCTCAAAACGAGACCCCTCCACAGCAACCACCCTCCTGCTTCTGACGCCGCCCTTCCGCTTGCTGCACAGCCAGCAGGCCGCATCGCTGGGAGATGCCGATAGTGTCGCTGCTGCTGCTGATGGTGATGCTGACGTGGATGTTGATGCTGCTGACGTGGACGGGAGCTGGGAAGATCGGTGGGAGGAGAGAGGGGAGGAGAGGAGGAGAGGGAGGAGGAGGGATCTCACGCGGCGATGGGGACAGGTAGGAGTACGCGTGGAGGTTCCAATGGACGGCTCGGATTGATCTGATCGATCTGATCGCACTGATGGACGGCTGAAGACGGCTTGGCCAGGAATTCGGTAAGAGGCGTCCGCGTTATAAGCTTGCCCGCCTGCCATGGCTACGTGCCAAGGAGATTGTTGCGGGAGTGACAGATTCTATCTCAGTGTGCTTCCAGTGGAGTCAACTCCAGAGTCTCCCTAATCAACCACGCTTACTGACACGACGGACGGGAGAGAGAGAGCGAGAGAGAGAGAGATGACGGGGGAGAGATTACTCAGCCTAGAGAGATTACTAAAAAACGGAGATTTCTGATCCTCGAGCCATCCATGTCGGCCTAGAATGATGCTCAATCGTGACTGCCAGAAAATGGCGGATCTCGAATTGTAATACGGAGGTCGAGCGAGCTCGCGATTGCGACTTGCTCTCTCAAGGCTCGTGATCGCATAATCCGTTCTAAGGACGGTTCGCCCAGCCGATCAGCCCCACTCGCCTCGACGACTCCAATCGCGTGGAACACGCCTCGCGACAGCCTGCGACTGCGTGCAAACGCCTGCGACGGCGTGGAAACTGGGCCTCGCGACCGCCTGCGACTGCCTGGCATCGCGCGCGGCGTCGTCGCCAGGCGGTGGACAAGCCATGTTGGGATTCGCGGATGGGGACGCCGAGGGATTGCCGCGGACGGGATGGAAACTGATGACCTTAGGCGAAGAGAAAGGAGGTAGGAGGGGAGGTCGGGGGGGCTGAGTAGCTAGTGGCTGGTTGTGGAATAACGCTCGGTTGGGCAGGGCGAAGCGGCTCCACCCACAACCTGGAATTTATACGCGTAATTGTGACATGCGATATGATAAAGGGTGTGGATGAAGAAAGCAAAACAACGGAACTGGGTGCCACTGGGTGCAGATTTGAGCAAGTATCGAGCCAGGGCCTTAAAACCCGCGTCCCTAATTGTTCAAATGCACTGCGTATGAACTTTGAGATGAGGTTGCACGAATCACGCCAAAAATTCGCAAGGGTGTTTCAGCTCGCGAATTGGAAGTAGTTCGTGGACCGTCGGATTCTCACAAACGCAATTGGACGGCTGAGATTTTATTTCGAAATGACAATTTTGGATTTCGCGCCGTCCGATGGGAATTTGCAAAACAATGGACGGACAAAAACTCCGGGCACTTGGTGTTCCAGAATTACCTCCTGACTGAACTTGAACAGCACCCCTGAGTGACGAGAGGCACGTTACCCCCCTACACCCACGAAAAAACAGCTTTCAAACGCAGTGCGTTTGAAGGCTTCCGCCCCTAATTTGGGATGCGGGTTTTAAACTTATTAAAAAAGGCCTTTCTCCTCGAAGCAGTTCTTCTTATCACTGCTTTGCACGACTGCTTTCGACAACGAGGTACCAAAATCGAGTACAAATTCGCATAGAAACTGTCTGGTAGCCAGCCACTGAACTGATACCAGCCGACCCGAGCACCCTTAGTAGGCGGCGCTGGTGATCATCTTCAGGTGACGCATTAGAAGGGGAAATAAGTACTCTCGAGTATTCTCGTAATGTGTGAATTATGATAGTTCAGGCACATTAGTCGTTGACTAAGTGGTATCCCGTTCCTCTTTTCTTCATCCTAGTAGCGGATCCCACCATAAGCTACCCCTGGTAGACCGAATGCCTGCTAACATTGACCGAATGGCATTCAGCAACCGCTACTATTACGAAACCCTATTTTCGCAAATCCGATCCTTCCGCATCTCGCCCTCCCAGAGCACCTCGACCCGGTTCGTACCACGTCAGCCCGTGCCGAAGGCCTCTCGTTCGTTGACACGTGTCAGAGACTCGGTGGTTTGTAGAGCTCGCTCTAAACTCGACGCAATGGCGGGAAATGAAGTAGAAGGCGCCAATGACGGGAATATAGTAGGTCCCGGTCTAGAGCAGCGGAATTCGAGTCGAAGAGAAAGAGAATTCGAGTCGAGCAGCGGTTCCCCACCAGCAGGAGCACCCAGCATTGGCCGATCAGGATCCAGCCAATCAGACGCCAGCGCGGATCGGTGGTTGTCGGATCGCAGCCGTTCGTTCGGGCCTTCGGTGATCGTGGAGGTGACGCGGTTGGCGAAGAAGAGAGGGGCCATCAACCTGGGGGAAGGTGATGCAGGGTTGAATAGCGCTAGATGGTGATCTGGTTACCAGGTGTTTTTTTTAGGCCACGCGAAACACACTTCGCTGATCGTGGAGGTGACGCGGCTGGCGAAGAAAAGAGGAGCCATCAATCTGGGGGAAGGTGATCTGGTAGTTGCATGGGTCAGATAGCTGGCAGTGTCATCTATGTTTACAAAAATAGCCCTGAATGGTGATCTGGTAGTTGCATGAGATGGTCCGTCCGTAGTATGCCCGGTTGAGAGCTTCAAAAGGCCCTGAGCAGTACCGTTGGTGTTGACATAACATGGCATGACATGGCATGGCATGGCATGGCATGGCATGGCATGGCACTCTGGCGTCCATACGTTTCAGGGTTTCCTGACTATCCTTCTCCGTGAAAGGAAACTTATTTTGAGCCGTCTTGTTTTGTTCAAAACAGTTTTTACTTTCACCCACCTGTTTCAGGGTTGCCCTGCCCCGACTATCCTGCTAGTTTTGAGGCGCCTCAAAAACACCTCTACTTTCACTCATCTGTTTCAGGGTTCCCCGACTACCGTGCTTGAGGAGTCTAGTTTTGAGGCACCTCAAAAACCATGCGTGAGGAGTCTATTTTTGAGGCGCCTCAAAGCCAATTCTGCTTTCACTCATCTGTTTCAGGGTTTCCTGACTACCCTGCTCCGCAAGCTCTTAAGGACGCTGGGATCGCCGCCATTGCTGCTGATGTGAATCAATACGAGTGAGTGTCAATTGGGAGCCTGAGGGTGCAGCGATTACCGATTGGGTTACTGATGTCCCGACTACCCTGTTTCGCAAGCTCTTAAGGACGCAGGGATCGCCGCCATTGCTGCCGATGTGAACCAATAAGAGTGAGTCGTCGCATCCCCCCCCTCCCCTTCCCCCCCCCCCTTCTCCACTTTGAATGATAATAATCGTGTTTTGACGCATCTCAAAACACGTTTTTTATCATTCAGGGACCAATCAGAGTAGTGGCATCCCGCCTCCCCCCCCAGGCCTGAATGGAAGGTTTCTTTATCCAACTATCCAATTCTTTCTTTCAACATAGGCTTTAAAAAGAAAGAATGGAAAGCCTTAAAAAGAAACCCAAAAAAAAAAAAAAAAATCCTCAATTCGTGTACCTTCCATCTCCCAGCTACAACGCATCTCTGGCAGCACTCGTGGCAAGCACCTTCTCAGAAGCTTCCGGCATTCCAGTGGATCCAGAAACAGAGGTGGCTCTCAGCTCCGGCCAGACCTGTTCCTTTGCCTCGGCATGCCTTGCAGGTTCGGCAGTTTATCTAGATACTCGATATCCCTCCCTCGACTCATTGTTTCTTCCCACCCCTAAATGATTTTTGAGTCGACTAAAAAATCACAGAAGAAACCAGAAGAAAGAAACCCTCTACTTTTCCTTGGCGTTACCCCTGCCCTGTCACTCCCTCCCTACCTACTCTCCCCCTAACACTCTCTCAGGCCCCCCTTCTCCTTATGCCACGTCATCTTCCCTCTCCCTTCCACCCCTCCACATGCCACGTCATCCTGCAGTGTTTCAGCCTGGCGATGACGTCATCCTATTCGACCCGGCCTTTGAGGCTTACCACGGGGCCATACTGATTGCTGGAGCCAACCCGGTAGGTGCAGGGGGGGGGAGGGGGGGGGGGGCACATCAAAGGGCGGTTCTGCTGGTGTTTGCCATGCCATCCATCGATCCAGCCTTTGAAGCGTATCGCGGGGCCATACTGATTGCCGGAGCCAACCCGGTAGGTGCATGGCGGCGGGCATTAGAGGGTGGTTCTGCTGGTGCTGGGTGCCCCTTGACCTGGCCTGTGAGGCTAACACCAGCAGGACCGCCCATGGGGCCATACCAACCCAACCCTGCCGTAGAAGCGTACCACAGGGCCATACTCGTTGCAGGATCCAACCCAGTAGGTGCATGGCGGCAGTGAGCTGCAACGAGTATGGCCGTAGAAGCGTACCACAGGACCGCCCATGGGGCCATACTCATTGCAGGAGCCAACCCGGTAGGTGCATGGCGACAGGCATTTGAGGGGAGTACGTTTCTCTCTCTGCCCTTTTGGGTAGACTCAAAACCATTTTCTCCCCCCTTGTGAGTCGACCCAAAAGCAGAATCGTGACCCTTCGTGACTGCCCCCTCCTGCACACCAGGTGTACGTTCCTCTCTCCCCCCCTCATTGGACCATCGATTTCGACCTGCTGTCAGCCGCCCTCACACCACGCACCAAAGCCATTGTGCTCAACAGGTGGGTGTATGGGCGGGCATGGGTGAGCATGGGTGGGCATGGTTGGGCATGGGTGAGCATGGGTGGGCATGGGTGGGCATGGGTGGGCATGGGCGGGCATGGGTGGGCATGGGCGGGCATGGGTGGGCATGGGTGGGCATGGGTGGGTATATTGTTGTCCCTCGCACGCCCCTCTCTTCCCCCTTCATTGGACCATCGATTTCGACCTGCTGGCAGCCGCCCTCACGCCATGCACCAAAGCCATCGTTCTCAACAGCTGGGAGTTTGGGTGGGCATGGGTGGGCGTGGGTGGGCATGGTTGGGCATGGGTGGGCATGGGTGGGCATGGGCGGGCATGGGTGGGCATGGGTGGGCATGGGTGGGCATGGGTGGGCATGGGTGGGCATGGGCGGGCATGGGCGGGCATGGGTGGGCATGGGTGGGCATGCATGGGTAGGCATATGGGTGGCCCTCGCACGCCCCCCTCTCCCCCCCTCATTGGACCATCGACTTCTACCTGCTGGCAGCAGCCCTCACATCATGCACCAAAGTCATCGTTCTAAACAGGTGAGAATCGCTGGGTTTGGCATGGGTGGGCATGGTTGGGCATGGGCGGGGATGGGTTGGTATGAGTGGGCATGGATGGGTATGGGTGGGCATTTGGGAGGGCATGGTTGTGCATGGGTGGGCATGGGCGGGCATGGGTGGGCATGGGTGGGCATGGGTGGGCATCAGGCCTCAGGATATCAGGGTAAAATACCCTTACGGCCCTTATAATAAGGGTGGGGTAGCTGTTGGACCCTTATTTTTAAAAGTGGTTTAGTTTTTGACCCTTATGAAAAAAACTAGATCTATACGGGACCCTGTTTTTTCAAAGTGGTCGAGTGTAGGGACCCTGATGCGGAAAAGTGTTGTGTAAAATCACCCTTACACAATCACACATGCGATCCCCCCCTGAAATATTTTATCCCCTTGGCAACCTGTAGATTTCGGCTAAGTCCCCCCAATCCGAGAGTCATTCCTCCTATACCCCCCGCAACCCAAGATTTCGGCTAAGTCCCCCACTGCCTAAGGCATTCCTCCCACAGCCCTCGAACGACCCCGAAAAATTGGTGAAGTCCCCCACTCGCAGAGACAAAGCCGCTGTAGTACCTTCGCAACCCGGAGGATTCGGCTAAGTCCCCCAGTTCCAAGTGTGTTCCAGTCAGACTCGGGGGAATAACTACTTTGAAATTACAGGGTAGCCTGAAACGAAAACAAAGCCCTGGACGTGATATGTCAAATTTTCTCTTCCCCCCTACCCACTTCGGCGAGGGAATCTCGGCGACTTGAATTGAAGTTTCCACGGGTTTTTACCTGGCCCCTGCCCGCGCACGACGGGGATTCAAGTCGTCAATTTCTTCTGCTAATGGTTTACGTTTTTTTTGCTGCCACTCACCCAAGAATTCATGCGCACGGTTACAAAACTTGCCGACTTGAATGTATAATTCGTGTTGGTAGAGTCGTATCGGCCACTACATTAGCTAAAGAAATGAAAGAACAAAAAAAAAAAAAAAAAAAAAAAAAACGAGTGCGGCACCAACGGGAAATGAGGTCGCGACCAGGAAGGGTCTAGGGAATGAGGTCGTATTTCTACAAGACAGTAATCACTACCAGCAAACCCGGAATGGACTCTGAAACGCGAAACGGTGAGGTGCGAGGGTCAAAACGCGAATTCCTGTTCGGTTCGATTTGGTACTTCGCGAAGTTTGGTTCTCTGGTACTGAAAGCACTAATGTAGAAATACGCACTAACAGCAAAATTACCGAGGTGCGACATTCCCCCCACTTCAGCGCTAACAAACAAAAACAAAATTCTTGGTGCACCCTGTCGAGTGCCACCCAAGGCACGTCGTCACAAATCTGCAACACGTCAGTCGTCTGATCACGCGAGATCCTGTACCTACAGTAAAGTGTAAGGCTGCGCTGGAGTTATACCCTTATGTGAAAAAGTACAAATATTTAGGACCCTTATATTACAAAGTAGCTTTTAAATATACCCTTACAGAAAAAGTGGCAGCAAGCGAGTACCCTTACAAGAAAGAGTACTTCTAATCCTATCCAGAGGCCTGGTGGGCATGCTTTAGAATCTACAAATCTCAGTCAAATTCAGCTATCCCCCAACTCCCAGAAGTGCCCTCTCCATGCTGTTCGCCCTCCCCCACCTTTTTGACCCACACCAGTACCCTACCCTGAGTCGCGTCAACTCCACGGAACTCTTTCACTTCACCCTCCCGCATCTGTGACCCACACCAGTACGCTGAGCTCGTTGCTACAGCCCTACTGGCCATGCTCGTTTTTCACTCTAAGCTATCTCAACTCCCCAACTTCTGCCAGCAGCAGCACAGCTTTGCGACTCAACAACCATCCCCCCCCCCCCCCGCTCGCTCCGCTCCTGCTCGCTCCGCTCCCGTCTCTCCCCGTCTCTCCACCCGCCCTTCCGCCCAGGCCTGTCCCTGCAAGCAACCCCGCCGTTGGGGACTTCTCATGCACCGAGTACAGAGTTCACTCCCACACCGAGCACCGAGTTCACACTCACTCAACTCTCCGAATACTGCCACAGGCTGAGCTTTCTCAGGTTTCCGATTTTCCCCAGCAGCACGACCTGCTGGCGATCATGCACAAGGTCCAACCAACCACCTGCCCCCAACCCAGTCTCTGCAACCCCACAGGCCGTGTCCTCTCACACACGGAACCATCTGGACTGGTGGAATTCTGCCAGCAGCACGACCTGCTGGCGATCACAGATGAGGTGTACAGCGCATTCACTTATCCATCCCCAACCGCCCCTCATACCCGCATTCCAACTGCCGGCCCCCAACCCAGTCCCTGCAACCCCACAGGCCGGTTTTTCTCACAGAGTGTGTTTTGTTCAACTGGTTGAATTCTGCCAGCACCACGACCTGCTGGCGATCACAGACGAGTTCTACAGCGCATTCACTTATCAGTCCCCCCCACCCCCCCCTCCCCTTCCCCCCATCCCCCCTCCCCTTCCCCCCACCCCCCCTCCCCTTCCCCCCACCACCACCACAAACCAGCCCTTGCAACCCAACTGGCCGTGTGTTCTCACATGCTGAGCTGTCTCAACTCGCAGCCTTCTGCCAGCACCACGACCTGCTGGCGATCACAGACGAGGTCTACAGTGCATTCACCTATGGCGGTGCACGCCACATGTCGCTCGCTCATTGGCCGGGCATGAAGCAGCGCTGCATCGTTACCTCGTCCGTCTCCAAAACTTTCCACGTCACAGGTGGGCGGGGTGGGGATTGGTGGGGTGGGGCGGGGTCGGGTCGGGTGGAGTGGGGTGGGTGGGTGGTATGGTTTGTTTTGGTTGGTGGGTGGGTGCTTGGAAGGTTAGATGGGTGGGCTGTCGTCACCTCGTCCGTTTCCAAGCCATTCCACGTCACAGGTGGGTGGGTTGGGTGGGGTGGGTGAGGTGGGTGGGTGGGTGGGTGAGTGGGTGGGGGGTTGGGGGGGTGGGGGGGCACAACAGGTTCGCGGGCGCATGGGGTGGGCCATGGCCCTTGGGGCCATCGTTGCATAACACATCGTCCCTCCTCTCCCCTTCCCTTCACTATTTCCCCTTCAGGTTGGCGCGTGGGGTGGGCCATCGCCCCGGCGCCTATCGCTGCTGCTATCAGCACCATCAGCGCCAAGCTCATCGACACTCCTCCGGCCCCCTTCCAGGAAGCTTCCCGCGCTGCCCTGAGCCTGCCTTCGAGCTACTACACTCAACTAATGGAGGTAACATCCGATGCTGTTCTTTTTTTAGATTCCCCTTCCAGATTCCCCTTCCAGATTCCCCTTCCAGATTCCCCTTCCAGATAGCCTCTATTAACTGTTCCTTTTGCGTCCTTCCTTGACCTCAAATACTAGCGGTAACTTTTGATGCTGTTCTTGTGTCCATCACCATGCGGCGAGACATAGCAGAGGCGATGCTGCTTAGAGGCGATGCTGCTTAGAGGCGATGCTGCTTAGAGGCGATGCTGCTTAGAGGCGATGCTGCTTAGAGGCGATGCTGCTTAGAGGCGATGCTGCTTAGAGGCGATGCTGCTTAGAGGCGATGCTGCTTAGAGGCGATGCTGCTTAGAGGCGATGCTGCTTAGAGGTGATGCTGTTTAGAGGCGATGCTGCTTAGAGGCGATGCTGCTTAGAGGCGATGCTGCTTAGAGGCGATGCTGCTTAGAGGCGATGCTGCTTAGAGGCGATGCTGCTTAGAGGCGATGCTGCTTAGAGGTGATGCTGCTTAGAGGCGATGCTGCTTAGAGGCGATGCTGCTTAGAGGCGATGCTGCTTAGAGGCGATGCTGCTTAGAGGCAGGATGGTCGCCACTATGCGATACTTGGCAGTGGCCATGCTGCTGGAAGGGCGCCTGGAGGTGCCTCTCGCTTTAATCCCTTTTGCCCACTCCTATGCACTTTTCTGTTTTTCATAATTCGTCTAGCAGGACGTGAAACCATTAGGCATGACATGGCAGTGGCCATGCTGCTGGGAACACATGTGTTGTCGTCAGCATCCCTTGGTGCTTTCTTGTGTGTGTGCTCCCTTTCCCTCGTCCCTCCGTTTCCACCTCCCATCACCAGGATAACACCCTTAGGCGAGACATGGTAGTGACCATGCCGCTGGGAGCAGGGCTGGAGGTGCCTTGTCTCATGCTCCCTTTGCCCCCTCCTGTGCCCTCTCTGCTTCCCATCGCCCACCACCAGAACTACACCCTTAGGCGTGACATGGCAGCAGCCATGCTGCTGAGATCGGGGCTGGAAGTGCCTCCTCTTGTGGTTATCCCTTTGCCCCCTCCTGTGCCCTCTCTGTTCCCCATTGCCCACCACCAGGGCTACACCCTTAGGATTATAATCCGCTTGACCCCTCCTATGTCCGCTCTGTTTCCCATCGCCCATCACCAGGACTACACTGCTAGGCGAGACATGGCAGTGGCGATGCTGCTGGGAGCACGTGTGTTGTCATTGTCATCTATTTGTGCTCTCTTGTGCGTGTGCTCCGGTTCTTATCGCCCACCACCAGGGCTACACCCTTAGGCGAGACGTGGCAGTGGCCGTGCTGCTGGGAGCATGGCTGGAGGTTCTCATGTCATGCTCCTGTTAACCCTTACTGTGCTTTTTCTGTCTCCCATCGCTCACCACCAGGACTACACTGCTAGGCGAGACATGGCAGTGGCAATGCTGCTGGACGCAGGGCTGGAGGTGCCCCTCGTTCCGGAGGGTTCCGTGTTTGTCTTCGCACGCATTCCCGAGCGATGGGGTGTTAACGATGTGAGCGGAGGGGTGTTGACGATGTGAGCAGTGGGGTGTTGACAATGTGAGCGGTGGGGTGTTGACGATGTGAGCGGCGGGGTGTTGACGATGTGAGCAGTGGGGTGTTGACGATGTGAGTGGTGGGGTGTTGACGATGTGAGCAGTGGGGTGTTGACGATGTGAGCAGTGGGGTGTTGACGATGTGAGCGGTGGGGTGTTGACAATGTGGGTAATTGTCGATCTAGATAGTTGTTTCTTCTTGCTTGGTGACTTTTGAGTCGACTCAAAAGTCACCTCGCGATCTAGAGAGCTATTGCTCCTTGCTTTTGAAAGTGCCTTAAAACCTCTTGCCATCACCCTTCGGTTTTGTCTGTTTCCTCATTTTTTGCATTTCCTGCAAAATGATTTTGCTTCCGTATTTCTCCTCGATGTTTCTAGTGTTCTCGAAAATCAATTGGTTGTGACCTTTTTCCTTCCCTCTCACGCTATTTGCTCCCATCTCTCCATCTTCCCCCCCCCCCCCCCCCTCTCTCTCTCTCTCTCTCTCTCTCTCTCTCTCTCTCTCTCTCTCTCTCTCTCTCTCTCTCTCTCTCTCTCTCTCTCTCTCTCTCTCTTTCTCCCTCCATAACCACTTTTGCACATGGGCGACTCCAGGAGTGTGGGTAGTTCCAGCCTGTGTCTTCAATCCCATCTCCCCGCTCTCCCCGTTTCCCCCCCTCTTGCTCCCTTCCCCTCACCTCCCCAGCTTGAGTTCTGCAGGAGGGCGATGGAGGATTGCGGGGTCACCTTTGTCCCTGGTCGGAAAAGATTCCACCTAGCCTTGTCTCCCCGTCCTTCCTCGCTTTCCCCCTTCCTCTTTCCCTCTCCCCTTCTTTCTCTCCCTCCTCACTCCCCCAGCTGGAGTTCTGCAGGAGGGTGATCGAGGATTGTGGGGTGGCCTTCGTCCCTGGTCGAATATTCTTCCACCCGGCCCATTCTCCCAGTCCAAACCCACCTGACCAACCACCTGACCATCCACCTGACCAGCTACCTGCTCGATCACCTGATCAACCACCTGATAGCGCTGACAGGCATGTAGAGCCGAGCACCAATCCAGTCGTGCCAGCTCAGCATCGTTATGTTCGCGTGGCGTTTTGCAAGAGCATGGAGACGCTAAGAGCAGCTCGAGGTGCGCTGAAACACATGCAGGGGATGTTTTGACCTGCTTAACTCAATAATAATGCACCATCGATTGACGTGACACGTGTAAATGCATGCTTTGATCCGTTTAGCCAGTGACGAATGATACATCTACTGGCATAACTGGTTGCATCTTCTACGCCGTCCCGCTTGGGGTGGTTACTTCCTCATATGTGGTAATGTGGTTACCAGCATAACGCACTGTACATGCATGATAGCTGGCAATCTGCCCTCGTATGTAACATCCGTGATTCGTAAGCGCTTTGCACACCATGCTAGTAATCGCCTGCATCACCAAAATTGGGGATTCCAAACCAGTGGTAGAGTAGATCAATGCTGCTTAGCTGACAGCAGGCTCAGCAAAACGCGGAAGATGCAAGAGGAGAAAAGAGGAGGGGAAAAGAGAGGAACGGGGGGATGGGGATAGGGAGAGGGGAGCGGGAGAAGGGGGGAGAGGAGAAGGAAAGCGGAGTGGTTGATAACGACTACAGGGAATAGGATAAGGCAGCGATTGGACGGTGGAGAGAAGGTGATCTCCAGCACGTACGCCTGGTGACGTGGCAGAAATCTATTTGTCCAGCGGCGCGCCGTCCGATGGCGAGGCGGACGGAATAAGGGCTCGTCTCGTTTCGTGCCCATCGAGACAAGCAGCTCAACCGTTGAATATGTGTCCGAAGTGCAACGAATGTGTCCGACATAAGATGCTTGTGTCTCGAGAGGGCGTATCACGGAAACGAGCTGACTGACACACGTGCGGAATAAGAGCCTCTCATCTCAAAGATAAGGAGACCAGGAGAGATCGTTCACCAAGAACGACTGAGGGTCTATCGGCTTTCCCGCGCCTTTCCAGCCTATCGGAATGAGTTTCTGTGCTTCCGCATGCAAAAATCGCCGCACGCTTGAAACCCGGATTTGAGAAACATTGCATTTGGTAGCATTCCGCCGGGCCGCGCATTTTGATAAGGAATCTCCTGGAGCGATAGGTAGGGGCGGAGCCGCGAGATGCGAGTGCCAGATCGGCAGCAATTTCGGTCGGGATTTGTCGTCCGGGTTCGCATAACCGTTCGTGATAACTTCTGAGCCGTTCGTTTGGTCCCCGAAGGGTTTTCCCTGGTTCGCGCAGGGGGGTTGGTCCTGGGGTGCTCTTCCCCTCTCCCCCCGCGAAGAAATCAGTTAGCCAAGCCACCCACCCAAAGCTACTGGAGGGACACAGCTTCGTGTATAAATTGAGGTTCACTCATTCGGCTTCCATTTCTTTTCACACAACACTTCGTCTTCATTGCATGTTTTCTCTGAGCTGGGTCGCAATCCTCCATAGAACGTCCTTCGATATCAGGTACTTGGTGTTGGCTTTTGCGTTCCAACACCTAAGTCCGAAGAAGGTGCGGGTTTGCTCCAACCACTCGTTTCATTGCTACCAGCCGAGCAGATTCAACCGTACTTCGCTCTATAGAGTGCTTCTGTATTTTACAGATGTTAGCATATCCTTTTCCCCCCAACAAAGCCCCACTTCGCATACCACCACATCGCTTTTGTCATCTCGAACCAGTATGTTCACTAGGAAATGCATCGCGTTTACGGAGTACACAGACGAAAGAGGAGTGCAGTTTGTTGGAAACAAAAAGCCGAAGGCTTATGTATATTTCCATAAGTTCCGCGGCCAAGATTCAGTGTAACTAATTTGAGCAACAGGATCCAAGATCGACAGCAGCATTTCGATTCAGTGGGCTTGATTGCGGAGGTCCACAGCCAATCAAACTGCTTTGGCAAACCACTCACCCCTCGCTGATCTGGCACATTCTCTGGGGGACATCACCCACACGAGTGACCTACACTGTCACCAATCTACATGGTCCGCGTGGACAAATACGGCGGCGCACGTGGATACCGCATTTCCACTGAAGACCTGATAACCTGAATGTGGACTCGGGAAATGTGCGCTGCGATAAGGGCAAGTGAACCCAGCCCATCACCGAGTCGCGGGGCCTCGCGCGACTCGATCTCGACGGAAATTCGCTGATCCGAGACATTTTGAGCTGGATTGGTGTTTTCAACACTCTCTCCCCGATGGTCCTTCTGTTGGGGATAAAAGGGGAATCATTTCCCGATCAGTCTCACACTCTCCAGTATAACATCGTCGCATTTTCGTCGGCGATTGCAACATCTCGCTTGGCAGCAGAGCAGCCACCTCTGCGCTTCAAGAAGAGCAGGCGGATTCGTTCTGCTTTACTCGTCCGTCCTGTACCAACCAGAAACGGCGAAAATGGCTCGTGCTTGGGTCTACCACGCTGCATTGGCCTTTCTGGCTCTGTCGGTGCTAATCCCCTGCTCCACGGCGGCAATTGCGAAGGCATGGGGCGGCGCGCAGCCTCTGGAACCGGTGAGTTTTCGTCTGAAACCTAAATGCTGATGCCAGCTGCACGTACTTTTCAAATTTTGCGTTTCGATAATCCGTGAACAAAGCAACCACTTTCTCTCTTCCAAATTATCGCGGACGCACATCCCACAAGCCGCTAAACCCCTCATGCTCGATGTATCTTCGTATTATCGCAGGTGGCAAACGCGCTCATCGCAGATTGGAACAAGCAAGCCAAGCCCGCGCTCCGATTCGGAGCCTACGATCCCTCCAGCTCCAGTAACGGCATCGCGGGATTCTACAACGGGACCTACTTAATCGGCGCGGCCTCGGAGCCAATCAGCGCGGACAAGGAGATCGCGACAATCCCGAAGATCACGGTCCCGCTCGCTATTGTCACGTACAGCTTCTTCGTGACAAAGGCCGCGGGAGCGAAGCCGCTCGTTCTCACAGCGCAGCAGTCGCTGCAGATTTTCGACGGCACTATCAAGTCATGGGGCGACGTTCCCGCCGCCGCCGCCGCGAAGCTCACTGGAGCGATCACGCGGATCGGGCGCAGCACCAAGGTCGCGACGACGGCGATTATTCAGCAGACGTGGGTGAAAGCTGGCGCGGGTTACCCGGCCAGCGGCGATACCACCGGAAAGCCACTCACGTACGCCGGCATAGTCCCGGCTGCGACTGGCAACGAGATGTGCGCTAAGATCGCCGCGACGCCCAACAGCATCGGGTATTCACATACTGGCGGGTGCAAGAAGGCGAGGGGAGTGGCGGAAGTCGCGCTGAAAAACAAAGCCGGCGCTGCCGTGCTTTCGAACAGCTGGAACCCCATTATCGCCCTCCCCACGGTGGTTCCCGGCCCGGACAAGTCCTGGGATAAGGTCGACCTTATCTGGACTACGAATGCCAAGGCGCCGCCGATGGTCTCCATGCAGTATTCGTTTATCAAGAAGAATCTGAAGAAGGTGCCTGGCGGTGCGGCGGCCAAAGCGTTTCTGTTGTTTGCCATTCCCAAGGCTAGTGGGAAGGCAGCTGTCGGCGGGTTCCTGCCCGTGCCGCCCAAGTGGTGGGCGCCTTCTTTCAAGGCGATCAACTCTGTGGTTGTGTAGCAGGGAGTAACGGTTGTCTGAATGTGGGGGGCCTCAAAAGCATCTCTGTGGAAGAGTGGGTGGGAAGACACCCGCGAGTGGATTTTTGCCCGTGCCTCCCAGATGGTGGGCGCCTTCTTTCAGAGCGATTAGAAAGCGCACCATGTTTTTGTGGTCAGGTGCACTGGTCTGGAGTGCGCTGCGGAAATCTAAAACCTGTTCTCTGGTCCTATTTTGTCAGTGTATTTGTGACCCACTATGTGTCCCACTTCCTCATCTACCAGCCACTGCCCAAAGGGTTTAGACTGTCCGTGCGTCTAGTGGTTGGAGGCAGTGAGGGACACTGTCAGGAAGGGGGAGGTAGACACAAAGAGTGGTACAAGGGAGGAGCCCCATTCAGAATCTATACTTTCAGGGGACAGGGTTTAACTTATACAGCATGCCAGAATGGGGAGCAAAATAAGCATGAGGGCGGCAATATGGGCGTGAAACACACAGTTGCGAAAGCAGCAGAGAAACTTGGAGCGAGTTGAAGCACGGTTTGGTCCATTGCAGTTGAATGCTGGCAAGTTCTAAATCAGTGTGGAGTGATGGAAATATTGACATGAAAAAGTCGTAACTGTATGTTTCACACTTGTTGGAAATATCTCAAGGACTTAAGCGTTTCTGAAGTGTAACACTGTACTCGAGGAAGATTACAGGGGAGCACGCGAGTCAACGGAGGTTACACGAGGGGGCGGACAAAGAATGCGAAAGGACTCGAAAGGTCGCAACTGGAGGTTGCGACTGACCGTTACAACATCACGGATGGTAACCGAAGCGGCAATCGAGTCGCTGTGCGACTCGATAAACCGTTCCTGTAACTGTATTCTACAACTGCTTTCTTATCTTCTATATATTGCTGTATGCTTGTTTCTTCAATCAATCACTTGTTCTCACATACTAGTACAAGGGTTCAACCGTCTCAACTTCCGCTGCACTACTCCAAGTCTCAAGTCTTTACAGCTGGGACTTAGTCTCTGCAAAAGATCCCAAGGGCTTTTCTCAGCCCAACATGGTATGAGAGCTGGTCGGAGACCAAACTCCCAGCAACTACGCTCCATCAACGACCTGCAACTCAACTTGATTCAACAACTCCATTGATTACAAGACATGGACAACAAGGGCAAGAAAGTCTCTACGGGCTCACCCAGCGCCCAAGAAACTCAACACGGCAACTCTGGTCTGCACACCTCAGGACTGCAGACAGAGACCGGGACTACTCAAGAAACAACGGGAAGAGTACCAGAGATGGTGACTCCGTCTCCCTCTTCAAGTGTGGACCCGAATCTCATGGAGAGATTCTTCAGCTTCATGTCACACTTCGATCAGCAGCAGCAGACAAGGACACCTGCGCACTCAACACAGAGCAATGGAGGGAATATGGGATTAGCGCCGATGAGCCTCGACAACTCATCCTTCGGGCGACACAATCAAGCGCCTACCTTTGCGCCTTATCACTCTTCACCGGGGACGTTCGAGTTCATGCCGCCCCGTGCCCAACCAACAGCAGCTGCATCACAACAAACACCAAACGAGATTTTAAGTCTCCAGGCACAGTTTTCACACGTGATTAAACTGCAGACATCATCACCGTTCAACGGACACGACTTCTTTACCTGGAGCTTCGAGTTCGAGCTGCTGATGGAGGCCGCGCATCTTCTGGGATACTTCAACGG